AAATATGCTAAATTCCTCTTGATATGCAAATTATTTTGTCAAGGCGCTCTTCCCCCCTCCATCCCAGCTTAAATAGTCGCTCCAAGCCTGGGCTGTGCCATTTAGACTCTGTCTTCTCGACAGACTTGTTCTCCACCTGAGGACGGCTGCTTGCGTTGTGGCCGAAACGTCGTGAGAATTATTTTATAATGTTTTATTTTTATTTTTTAATTATTTCAATTCTACGTGACTTTACCGAAAGAACCAAGAAAAAAAAAAAAAAAAAAAACCAAGAAAAAAAAAAAAAAAAACAAAAAAAAAAAAAAAAAAAAAAAAAAAAAAACAAGAAGACAGTCCCAGACCATCACCACTTTCCCACCACCGTGCTTGACGTTTTGGATGAGGTTCTTTTGTTCGAAAGCAGTGTTTGCTTTTTGCCAAACATTACGTTTCTCACTGAGACCAACATTTTCTACCTTTGACTTGTCTGCCCAGATAACTTTGTTCCAGAATTCTTGTGGATCATCTTGAGTGCTCTTTGGAAAACGTCAGACGGGCAGAAATGTTATTTTTTAGAGAGCAGTGGTATTCTCCTTGCTATCCTTCCATGAACACCTTTGTTGTTCATTCTTTTTCTAATATTTGAGTTATGAACACTTACATTAGCCAAGGTGAGAGTGACCTGCAGATCCTTGGATGTTTATTTTGGGGTTCTTTGTGACTTCCTTGATGATCTTCTGCTTTGTTGGAGAGATTTTGTAAGGATGATCGCTCCTGGGCAGAGTGACTGTGGTCTTGAACTTTCTCCATTTGTAGACTATCTGTCTGACAGCGCATTGGTGGAGCTATTTTTACGAGGTTCTCAAACATGTATTTTGATCATGGCATGGCTTGTTTCCATACACTTGTATGGAGAAGACCAAACTCATCAAGTTTCTGATCTTTGGTATAACATTTAGGCTTTCGCGACCAATATCATCCATAATAGGTTTTTTGGGTTATATCGTGTAAATTTAAATGTGTCGTTAAACCTGCCACCGCCCGACACAGCCAATTAGTAAGGTTTGTCAAGTAAACAGCACTGTCGTCAATGGCAGAACACGTGTGCCAACAAGGACATTCCATTGATTTTAATAATGTTGAAGTTCTGTGAAAACTAGTTACTACTAGCCGAGACTAATTAGAGAATCTATCGAAATTGAGATAAATAAAACATATTTTAACCATTCGGATAGCTACAGACTTAGTGCTGCTTGGAAGTGAATCATCAAATAATACCTGTGTAGTGTAGTAGAACGACACGACTGTGCTGGTTCGGTATGGGGGCTGTAGGCGGGTGCCACGGGGGTCGTGTCGGGCCGTGACACTCTGCGTGAACCCAACAGGACACGTGACCGGATAAAGGGGGGGGGGGGGGTAGGGGCCCCAGGGAGGTCACCTGGTTGGGGTTCGGGCCTTCTCGAAGGATCGGGAAGGGGGGCGTGGCCTAGGACGGAGCCGGCCACGCCGGAGTGGTTATGAGCGGGGCGTGGACGGAGAGCTGCGCTGGTCTGTGCTGTTCTGCTGCTGGGTCAACTCTGGGATGAAGCTCTCCGGTCTCCGCCAGTGGACCAGGCAGCGTGTTGGGCTGTCCTGGTCCAGTGATGTAGTTAAATTAGGGACGGTGGCTACCCCCTTAAGTCGTGATGTTAAGTGTTACCTGTTGTGTTAGCTAATAAATAGTGCTGCCTCCAAAGTCCAGTGTGCGCCTGAATTTAACCCGCTACACATGGTTTAAATGTATGCCTATACAGGTCACCATACATCAATGGGGATTACCTGTACACGTAAATAACAGGTACCACTATTTTATTGCACGTAAACGACAGGGGGTGCGTTGATTACCATATGAATAGCCCAACCCTCAATGGATACCCATTCTAATTTATATGCATTAATTAATCCGCCCCTTCGCACAAGAAGGGCTCACAAGTGACGTCATCACATCTACGCCTCTATATAAGGAACGAAACAGGATGATTTCTCCACAAATCTGGCTGTCGCCTGATGAAGCTAGTTGTAATTACTGGCGAAACGTCGTACTCTGATTGTAAATGTGGCTTTGCTCTCCAACACAACTGGTGTGCTGTACTAGTGACGAATTGGCATGTTCTGTTTATGTAACAAACCTTACCCATTGGCTGTGTAGGGTGGTGGCAGGTTTAATTATACATTTATATTCACACGATCTAACCCAACAAACCTATATTTCTGATATTTATATCGGGTCGGACCTACCAAACTCACCACTGAAGATCTATCTAAATGTTTAAACACCTAATACTAATTATCCCCTTAATTGAGCTAATGCAACCAGGGGTTCACTTACTTTTTCACATACCCTGAACCTTCATTACTCATTGTTTAATTCATACGTTATTCTGTTTCAAAATACATGGAATTGGTTAATATAAACCCTCTTGGATATTTAATAAAAGGCCGGTTTTGATTCAAGAACACTTTTATATTAAAACTATGGAAGTTCCATAATTATGATTGGGGTTCACAAACTTTTTCTCGGCACTGTAATTTGTATCACTGATTGCTTGGTTGCGTTTTACAGTTGCGTTTTAATTGTATGAATTGTACGTATGTAGAATATGCGTTCTTCACTTTTTTTGTTGTCCTCCGGGTTTTCCCTCCTTTTATAAACAACAACACGTGTTTAGAGTATTTGGCTGCTGCTATACATTTCTACACGATAAGCCACTTCGTTGAGCTTTTGCTTGTGGCCAGGTCACTTCTGAAAAATAACTATATAGCTCCATGGGTCTTACGTGGTAAAATTGCCCGATGGTGCTGGATGCAATTACCAGCGAAACGTCATACTCAAATTGTAAATGTTGTGGTTTCACGCTTCAACACACCGGTGGGCTAAAGCAGTGAACTATTTGTCTTTTGTCAACGTGACACTTTTTTACTGATTGGCCGTGTCGGGTGGTGGAGGGTTACGACACATTTATAAATAACGCGATCTAAACCCAAAAACGTTGATTATGAATAATATTGGTCGCGAAAGCCTACGTGTTAAACCAAAATAAACATCTTTTGGTTCTTTCGGTAAAGTCACGTAGGTAGAAAAGTAATAGATCACGACGTTTCAATTGCAACACAACAATTGTCATCAGGTGGGACAACCACAGCAAGAAAAAACTGCTGAAGTAGGCGAGAGATCTGCCGTGGCACGAGGTTATATAGTAGGCCTCGACAGTAGGGGGGGGGGGAGAGAAGGGGGGGGGGCAGAAAGTGGACCTCGCGGCAGCACCCGGGTCACTGGATTAGAGATTGGAGAGAGATGCACAGAGAGAGAATTGGAAATAACAGCTGACATAGGTAGGTAGGATGGAAACATCACAGTCAGTTAAGACTTTACCTGGTTAACAACGTCCTTCCAATGATTGCTTAGTTTGTACCCATCTTCTCGGTTGAAGTCGTGTCTGTGTTTATATATCTGGATGGCTTCATGAACAAATCTCTGATAATAGCCGGTGGGTTTGCAGAGTACCTTCGTCTTGGAAAAGTAAATTTCGTGTGAGCCCACAGCTTTACAACAAAGATCAGCAATGGCAGAGGTATTGGTCCTACCGTGTTTCAGATCTGCCTTGTGTTCGCGAATGCGGTGTGAGACATGTCGTTTCGTTTCCCCAATTTAACTGCTGCCGCAGCCACAACTCAGTTTATAAACACCAGGGTATTACATATCAGGAATCACATCCTTTACAGATGGGATCAAATCACGGATTTTGTGTACTGTGTTGAAACGAATCTGGATCTTGTGTTTGTTTAAGATTTTGGAAATATTTTTGGTAACCCCTGCTATGTATGGCAAAATGATGGTATTGGTTGGATCCTCAGTTGGTTGTCTCCCCATGGCTGGGGAGACAGCTTTGTGGATTGTACGGTCCGAGTATCCGTTCATCCTGAGGGCTTGGTGTACGTGCTGCAGCTCACTGGCTATGTGATACTGGTCGGAGATGTAACGGGCCCTATGGTGTAATGTTTTGATGAGGGAATTCTTCTGGGCTGGATGGTGGTGGGAGTCAGGCTTTAGATAGGCATCCGTGTGGGTGGCTTTCCTTTAGACAGAGCCATCAGGTCTCTTCTCGATCAAAACATCCAGGAATGGCAGCTTGCCATCCTTTTCCACTTCCATGGTGAATTTGATGGATGGGTGTATGGAATTGGTTCAGTGCTGGCAGGCCACGTGGCCAAATGACGAACGTGTCATCCACGTATCTCTTCCACAAGGATGGGCATAGGGTTGATGTCTGGATGGCATCTGTCTCAAATTTCTCCATGAAAACATTCGCTACCTCTGGCGATAAGGGAGAACCCATTGGGGTACCCGCATTTTTTTGTAGAATGTACCATTCCAGGTGAAGTAAGTGTTGGTAAGGCAGTGCCTTACCAAAGTTGGTACATCTGGATTCAGTCCCTGTTGGACCAAGTCTTCAATGATTGCAATGGTATCAGGTACAGGTACCATGGTGAACAGGGAGACTAAATCGAAACTGACAAGTAAATAATCTGGAGACAATGAGATGTCCTTGATTAGAGAAAGCAAGTGAGCTGAGTTAAATACAGCTGAGGTGGTCTTGCCCATGAAATTTTTTTTCTCTAGTTTTTAGTTAATAGTTTTCAGTGTTCAAGGCCCACACAGTGTGATTTGCCCCAGGTCCCACATCCTGCTTTGGACGGTGTTGCTTTCACAACACACTTGCCCCGACAGTCTATTAAAGTCCATAATCAACGTTTTTGGGTTTAGATCGCGTTATTTATAAATGTGTCGTAACCCTCCACCACCCGACACGGCCAATCAGTAAAAAAGTGTCACGTTGACAAAAGACAATTAGTTCACTGCTTTAGCCCACCGGTGTGTTGAAGCGTGAAACCACAACAATTTACAATGTGAGTACTGTTAAGACAGTCTATTAAAGGCTACACGGGGGGGGGGGGGGATCTTTGTCTTTGTACCCACCGAGATGGCCGCTGGAGGGAAAACGTTGCTCTGGGATTGGCTAAGCAGCCTCGCGGACAGCGGCAGCTACGGCCTGAGCTGGGGAGACGCGGAGCGGACCAGCGTGCGGATCCCGTGGCACCCCACGTCGGCGATCCCGGACGGAGACTCCATCTTCAAGGTACAGACAGTCCTCGCACTTACGCACACACACCCGCACTTACGAACGCCCACCCTTACGAACCAGCTTCCATGAACTACGCATTGTTTTACATCGACTTAAAACGCGAACTCGCACTTGCAAATTGAACCACGGGACTATCTTGTTTAGTGGAGCAATCCTCAGTGAAATTAGGAAGCAGCAGCGGAGGGCAGAGGAGCAATGCTCACAACAATGAGCAGAGCACCGGGTGGCTAAAACGCAGATAGTTAGCACAGTGGGGAGCACAGGTGATGCATCTTCCAGTCATCTCACTCAGTCAACCCATGGCACTTTGGTCTGTTCCGTGACCTCCTGCCAGTGGGCCTTTGACACTTCTCATGGTCTCAAAGTGCACCTAGCCTGGTACAAGCGCCGTGGTGACATGGCCACCACTTAGTGATGAACGAAAGTTATTATGTTACGTCGTAAATCCCTGTGTGAACGTTGTAAATTAGATACCTCCTGTACTCGCATCTGGTACCGGTTTTGTGTTGAACTTTATTACAATAATGTAATGTGAAGATATATCGGGCTCACTGACGTATCACAACTCGTCATGATGATTGGCTCTGCCGGTCCTGGTCTATAGCCAATGGGGGGAAGCCTAGGGGCGTGGCCCTGACGTAATGGATAGGTGACAGCTGTAAGTAGAGGATTGGTTCTGCTGGCTTTGGCCACAGCCAATGGGGAGATGACTCAGGGGCGTGGTCCTGGGAGCCTACCAGGGAGTCTGGAATATTCCATGGAGGCTAACCAGGATTGGTGGAAACGTACCACGTGACCCGGGTATTAAATAGGGGTGGAGACGAACGACACGGGGTCAGAACTGGAACGAACGGAGGAGGAGGCCACGCGGGAGCGGGGCTCCAAGTTGCCACGTGGCAGCGCGTCTCTCTCTCTCTCTATCCCTCTCACGCTGCCTGTCAGCAGCGTGAAGGAGAGCTGTACTGAAAAGTGAATAAAAGACCGGATTCCAGAAGTCACCTCAACGACCTTTATTACAATAGTGTGCTCTACAGCAGCGGTCTCCAACCCCCGGGCCGCACAGCAGCAGGAGGTGAGTGGTGAGTCCGCACGTGGCCCGCCCCCATTGTTTTATTATTGACCACTTCCGTCCGCGCCTCTTTCCCCCACAAGCTCTAACTCCTAGTAGCCAACATGAGTAAAAACAAACGTTGCCAGAGAGCTTCTTTGAAAAGAGGGAAAAACCCAATGATGAACCTCCCCCCCCAGTCCATGAAATAAATTGACTTCCACGAAACCGGTTACGGTGCTGAAAATGGTGGGGACCGCTGCTCTACAGTATTGAGAATAGACCGAGGAGTGCTGACTGTGAAATAGGTCTGGGCTTGGTCTGTCGGAAAAAGTGGGTCGGTTAGGGTTGCCACTCAGCAATGCAAACACCCACTCACCCATACACTTATGCATTCACTCACCCATCCACCCCCTCACCAACCCACCCATTCACCCGCCCATCCACCCACCCACTCACCAACTCACGCACTCACCCATTCACCCACCAACCCACCCATTCACCCGCCCATACACTCACCCATTTACTTACCAATCCACATACTCACCAACCCACCCACTCACCCATTCACTGACCCACTAACTCATTCACCCACCTACTAACTCATTCACCCACCCACTAACTCATGCACCCACCCATCCACCCACTCACCTATTCACTCACCCACCCACTCACCTATTCACTCACCCACCCATGCACCCACCTACCCATTAGCCCACTCACTCACCCACTCACCCAATAATTCACTAATCTACTCACCCACCCAGCTACTCACCTATTCACCCACTCACCCCATTCACTCACCCGTCCATTCACCCATTCATTTACCCATCCACCCACTCCTATCCACTCACCTACCCATTCGCCCACCCATTAGCCCACCCACTCACTCACTCACCCACTCACCCACCCACCCACCCATCCACTTATCCATTCACCCACCCACTCAACCTCCCACTCACCCATTCACCCACCAACTCACCCATTCACCCACCCACTCACCTATTCACCCACCCACTCACCTATTCACCGACCCTCCTATTCACCCGCCTACCCACTCACCCGTTGGCCCAACGACCCACTCACCTATTCACCCACCCACCCACCCACTCACCCATCCACCCACCCCTTCCCCCGCAGGGCTACGCGGTGCTGCGCTGCCGCGACGGCTTGACGTCGCCCAGCACATGGAGGCAGTCCCTGCGCTGCGCCCTGCGCAGCACTCTGCACTGCGTCTGCAACGGGGCCGACCTCGACCCGCCACAGCCATTCCGCATCTACGCGCGGCTCGAACGGCGCCCACATGAGTCCCCGGGTGAGTTGAGTAAGGGTCCCCAGGTGAGGTAAGGGTCATCAGGTGAGTCAGGTAAGGGTCCCCGGGTGAGTCAGGTAAGGGTCCCCAGGTGAGGTAAGGGTCCCCGGGTGAGTCAGGTAAGGGTTCTCAGGTGAGGTAAGGGTCGCCAGGTGAGTCAGGTAAGGGTTCTCAGGTGAGGTAAAGGTCCCCAGGTGAGTCAGGTAAGGGTCCCCAGGTGAGTCAGGTAAGGGTCCCCAGGTGAGTCAGGTAAGGGTCTCCAGGTGAGTCAGGTAAGGGTCGCCAGGTGAGTCAGGTAAGGGTCGCCAGGTGAGTCAGGTAAGGGTCTCCAGGTGAGTCAGGTAAGGGTCTCCAGGTGAAGTAAGGGTCCCCAGGTGAGGTGGGTAAGGGTCTCCAGGTGAGGTAAGGGTCGCCAGGTGAGTCAGGTAAGGGTCTCCAGGTGAGTCAGGTAAGGGTCACCAGGTGAGTCAGGTAAGGGTCGCCAGGTGAGTCAGGTAAGGGTCGCCAGGTGAGGTAAGGGTCCCCAGGTGAGTCAGGTAAGGGTCTCCAGGTGAGGTAAGGGTCTCCAGGTGAGGTAAGGGTCGCCAGGTGAGTTTGGTAAGAGGGTAAGAGTGCCACGGTGGCAAGGAGATGTTAACTACCTCGCCTGGTATACAGGAGATTATGGGTTCAATTCCGACCCTGATGGCTGCTGCTGTATATTTGTAGTTTGCGTGTGTCTCTCCTCGTGGTCACGTGGATCTTTCTCCGGGTCCTCCGGTTTGTCCCCCCACATTTAGAATGAGCGTCACCACGTGTTTAAGAGTTATTTGGCTGCTGCTAAAAATTTCCGCCGATAATGATAAGCGCAGTCACTTTGTTGACGCCGATATCATTTGTGTGGGCCAGGTCGCTTCTAAAATAAGAGCCACAAAAAAAATTGTTGGGTTTATAGTTTACAGTCGGCATGAGTGAGTCTGCTTCTCGCCGTCCCCATTTCATTCCTGCCAACCACGTTCAGGGGGCCCGTCGCTCCCGCGTACAACAGTTGACACATTTTATTTGTATTTTACCAGGTTGTAAGGCCCCCACTGAGCTGCTACGTAGTGGCTCTTATTTCAGAATCGACCTGGCCAACACAAATGATAGGTCAACGAAGTTGGTGGCTTATCATCGTCATCATTCGTAGCAGGCAAATACTCTCAACGCATGTCGATGTTGATTCTCAAACCGGAGGACCCGGAAAAAAATCCACACGACCACAGGGAGAGAGAGAACATTCAAACTCCAAATATACAGCCGGCGTAAGGGTCAGTATTGAACCCGCACCCTCCTGTATACCAGACGAGGTAGTCAGCATCTCCTAGCCACCGTGGCGCTTACACCGGGTGCTTGACTGACACCAGTCAGAGCCATCCCCTGGGGTACGGCTAATCGGGGTGACTGCCCCGGGCCCCGCAATTTGGGTGGGGGGGGGGGGCACAGTGGGATTTGCCCCAGGCCCCGCACCTCCCTAGAGAAGGCCCTACACAGAGATACGGGGACACGGGGACACGGAGATACGGGCATATGGAGATACAGGAACACATTAACAGGAACAGAGACAAAGCCACGCGTTTTGTGTGAGTTATGCACGTGTTTAACGTTGCATATCGGTGTTTTGTGCGAGTTAAACGTTCAATGTTAAAGGCTCCCATAGGATCCAAAGTTAAATGCTCCCACAGGGTTCAACGTTAAAGGCTCCCATAAGGTTCAACGATAAATGCGCCCATAGGCTTCAAGGTTAAAGGCTGCCATAGGGTTCATTGTTTAAGTCTTTCATAGGGTCCAACATTAAATGCTCTCATAGGGTTCAAAGTTTTTGGCTCCCTTAGGGTTCAATGTTAAAGCCTTCTATAGGGCTCAACGTTAAATGCTCCCGTAGGGTTAAACATTAAAGGCTCCCACATGGTTCAACGTTAAAGACTCCCATTGGGTTCAAGGTTAAAGTCTTCGTGAGTGTTCAACCTTAAATGCTGCCATAGGGTTCCATGTTAAAGGCTCCCATCGGGTTCAATGTTCAAGGCACTTTATTTGTTCACCATACATTCAAAGTATGTTGCACCTGTAAAGCGCCCTTAAAGTGGAACAGCCTGCAATGCGACAGTGGACAAACATCCACGCAGAGCAAACACGACGTGACACGAACACAAACACTGCAGGTCTGTGGCACCTGACCAGAGTAGCGTGCGTTTCTACAATGCCTATATTGTATATCAACAAATACAAGAAACAAAGATCACCCATGCAACCTTTAACCAGGCTGCTGGAGCGAGTCCTGTTGCTCGAACGTGCTCCCTGGACAGAAGCTCACTTCTTCACTCTGCTGTTCCGATATGGAACTGCCTCCCGAAACACTGTCAGTTAAATCACCAATTCTGGTCTCAAGGCCTTCAAATGCCGAGCACACACACATGGCAAATCTCCTAACTTCACCACACTCCTTGTAGGGACTGAGTCTTTGAGCTGTAGTGAATCAATGATTATGTCGATTAGATCGTACGAATGTACGATCTAATCGGCATAAGTACTCTCCAACTCACCGGTGTGCTGTACTAGTAACGAATTGGCAGGTTCTGTTCATGTGACAACCCTTACTAGTTGGCTGTGTCGGGTGGTGGCAGGTTGTAATGACACTTATATATTTACTCGATTTAACCCAAAAAAAAGCCTCTATTATAGATGGGGATTAGTCTACACTTTGCCGTAACCGCCTTGTCCTGGCGGAGCCAAGGTACGGCTCTTCCTCGATGCCCACGGGAAGGGAGTTTCACGACCCAACTCTACCGGTGATCTACCAACCCTTGCTTCTGACACCACAGCGCTGCAGTACGGGCGGGCAGCCCCGTGCAGCGAAGCCACCACCACTGCCCAGCTGGCAGAGGGTATAAGGGACCGTCCATAAATGACATCGCAATTTTGGACGATTTTTTACCCCCCACCCCTTCGTCACACGGCGTCACAACAAGTCAGACCCCCCCTCAAATATGACGTCACAAAGCTCTGCCCCCCCCCCCAAAAAAAAACATGCTTCAAATCGCTTTAAACTATTGTCATTGTAGTGCGTATTTAATGTGGCTCTGCACTCTGATGTTGTAGGAGAAAACATTTATGACAAAGTCTATTTAATTAAGTAGAACGTGTTGTCTATATTTATTTAAAGTTGCGCAATTTGATGTGATGTCACATTTCTCAAACCCCCCCCCCCCCCTCGTCACACATCGTCACAAATTTCTGACCGCCCCCCCCCCCCTAGGTGCGTGACGTCATTTATGGACGGCCCCTAATGCACTGATGGGTGGGGGGCTGTGTCGTCGCCACGGCGGTGATGGTGCCCACACGTTGTGTATCTGTGTCTGGCTGTGCTACGAACCCAGCAACCCGAGTCTCATTCCCGCTCAACCACCAACACCACCAGTGACGATTGTCTGAACCGGTACCTGGCGCCTCCGCTAGGTCGACTCGGCCTCAAATGAGTACGGCGGTGTGGTGCGTAGCGAACATCGCCAACCGGGGAGACAAAGGCGGACGTGTGTGTGACTTGCCTCGACGGTGTGTTAAAGTCTATGGGGGGGGGGGATCGTTGTCTCTGTTGTGTGTGTCTGTCTGGCGCAGCCCCGATTTTCCCGGCCCCTCCGGACCCGGACGACGTCGCCGTGAACGTGCCGATGACGACCGCCGAGGGTCACGAGCTGGAGCAAGGTGAGAGCAGCGACGTCCCCGGGTTTTGATTTCAAGTCTGGAATTGACGGCTCGGTTAGCAGCCGGGATGGAGGTGGTGGTGCAGCCGTGTTTGGTTAATGCAGACTCAATGCCTTGTATTTAATGGGTGTCTCTGTGGTGTTTCAACATCTTAACACCGCCTGTGTTTACGCCAGAGAGGGTAAAGCCTCTGTCATTCAATGCCTTTGTACGACGTGTATGTTGAGATATTTTACACCGTATATAGGTGCGGGGGAAGGACAACAAACTAAACGCACAAAGCAGTTTTCAAGAAAATCGATTTTTAAATCGAGATGATTTAAAAGTGCATAGCTCCAGCGACTTCGTAATATCGTCTGGAAGAGCGTTCCAGACGGCCGCAGGAGCGCATCTGAGAGCGCCGTGCGATGTGGTGACCGCTGTTTTTTTTCAATTGTTCGCCAAAAGCTGCTGCTGCTGCTGCTGCGAGGATGTCCGGAGTTTTCGCGTGGTGATGGTTTACGTAGCTGCTTGACGAGATCATCGAGGCTATTGTGGTTCATTTGCGGCAAGCACTTTGTTGTTGTGTCACGAGTGCGACGTGACAATGGCGTTCGTTCGGAAAGCCGGAAGCCAACGAAAAACGGGGGTCCCGTGGATGTTGAAAGTTGAAACCACTGACAGTGAGGCCTCCATTAACGTTGGTGCATGCATACCCTGGTTAAACGCGACGTCAGACGACGCGGGGCGAATGATATTTAACCACCGTTTGACTTAACGGTGTGAATTTAGGATACGCTTCCTGGGGGGTAATTTTCGGGTCAAAAATTCGAGGAAACGCTATTGCACGAGTTATAGCCGTGGAGATTTAATTTAATAGAGAAGGCAGCACAACATCGATGTGGCACAGTGTGGTGATGTAGGACAGCGTCCATTGTGGCAATATAGTACAGTGACCCGGTATGGCAGTGTAGTAGAGTATCGAGTACAGATAGTCCCCGACTTACGATATTTCTATTTTACGATGGCGATAGCAATACGGCAAAATTGTAAAATATTTGAAATTTCGCGCGGCAGGCAAACGCAGCAGCGTACGAATCTTGGTGAGTACAGTACAATATGATACGTTACGATACGTTCAATGCATGTATTATACGTAGCTTTAGCGATGTCATTTTCGGGCTACCACGATACGATACGTTCAATGCATGTTAAAAGTTTTTATAGCAGATAGGATTGTTTCCTGAAAAAAAATTCTATTAAATTGCAGTTCATATAGGTAGGCTAAGAATATACCTTGTTTTTTTTACTTTGCATTTTACTGTGCAATACAGTATTGTAATTAATAAATACATACAGTATATAGTTTATACAGTACGGTACTGTAAATTGCTCTGTTTTGCTAAATTATCACCATTCTGTAAGCCTACTGGGCAGGCTAGGCCATCTTCGACTTACGATATTTTTGACTTACGATGGGGTCGTCGTAACGCATCTCCATCCTAAGTAGAGGACTACCTGTATAACGATGTAGTACGTACGGTCTGCAGTATGGCGATGTAGTGCAGTGTATATACGTGAGTTCCTGCTCTGGGGTGATGTGGCGTAGAGCATCGTCTCGTTGTACGCTGCCCAAGCTCCTGCATTCTCGTCTTTGTTTATTTTTTTCAAAACGTTCTAGCGAATCGATGCATTTTTAACCGAATTACGTTCCCTAAATTGGCTGGCGACATTATAGCGGGCGGCTAATGCACAGCAAGTTGGCACAGTAGGGGGCACAGGTGGTGCATCAGCCAGTCGTCTCAGTCGGTCAACCTGTGGCACCTGGGTCTGCCCCGTGACCTCCTGCCATCGGGCGTTTTACACTTCACGTGGCCTCAAGGTGCACATGACCTGGCACAAGCATCGTGGTGACGTCACCGCCACTTAGTGGCGAATGGCGGTTGTTATTGTTGTTGTTGTATGTGTCCGGCTGGGAGCAGTGGCGCAGTGGTTAGCACGCTGTGCTATGAACACGGCGACCTAGGTTTGTTTCCCGCTCAGGGCCACCAAGAACAACACCAGTGACGATTATCTGAACCTGTGTGAAGGTGCAGTAATCGCCACTTGGGAGACAAAAGCGGACGGGTGTGGTGGTGGCCACCCACCACTTCATGTAATGTGCCGGCCAGCTATAGGTTCTTCTCACTAACCGCAGGGTTTTAAGGCTATATGGGGGATGTTTGTCTTGATAATAGGGTTTTCCCCTTCCTGGCAATAAAACAGTTGTGTTAAGATGTTAAAACACCAAACTGAAACCTTTTGCAAGGAATCGTGTCTGCATTAACCACAATACTTGTGGTGAACATGCAAACAAAAAAACATGCCCTGACGGTATATGGTGCATTGTCTTTGAAACTGATTGGGCCACACCAGAGGCAGCTTTCTTTAGAGCCTCGTCTCAAACGGTGTTAGACCAGAGGACGCCTGAAGGCGGACAGCACAAAGACAACGCACTATCAGGGCATTGAGAGCTCGGGGTGAGCAGCTACATCATGAGACCACCTTTGCCAGTATTAAATTATGATAATAGGGACCTTGAACTTTTAAAACAGTCTGCCTCAGCAGCAGACTATGCTTTCCCACCTGATGACGGATGCTTGTGTTGCGCCCGAAACGTCGTGAATTATTTTATTTAAATTTATACCTACGTGACTTTACCGAAAGAACCAAAGATGATTCCTTGCAAAGGTTTCAGTTTGGTGTTTTAACATCTTAACACAACTGTTTTATTGCCGGAAAGGGGAAACCCTTATTATCATAATTTAATGTTGGCAAAGGAGGTCTCATGATGATGTTTGTCTTTGTTGTGCGTGTCCGACTGGTGCAGCCCCGACTTTCCTGGCCTCTCCGAGCCCTGAAAATGTGGCCATGGATAAAGGTGAGCAGGGGAAGGTCCTGGGTTTGATTTCAAGTTTGGAATTGAAAGCTGGGATAGCAGCCGGGAGGGAGGTGGTGGCACAGCGGTGTGGTGAATGCAGACTTGATATCTTGTAATAGGTGTCTATTTGGCGTTTAACAATATTAACACTTCCTGTATTTACGCCGGAAAGGGTAAAGCCTCTATTTATCATTCAATACCTTGATACTGTATATATGTAATGTTGAACTCTTTCGCACCGTACGTAGCCAATCGTGCTAATTGGAGGTGCGGGGAAAGGACAACAAACTAAACGCACGAAGCAGTTTTCAAGAAAATTGTTTTTAAAATCGAGATGATTTAAAAGTTGCATAGCTCCAGTGACTTCCTAACATCGTCTGGAAGAACATTCCAGATGGCTGCAGAAGCGCCGTGCGATGCGGTGACTGCTTTGTTAGCCAAAAGCTGCTGCTGCTGCGAGGATGACCGGAGTTTCGCTTGGTGATGGTTTATAGAGCTCATTGATGAGGTCAGCGAGGTATTGTGGTTCATTTGTGGCAAGCACTTTGTTGCGTGTAATGAGTGCGACCTTGAACATTGAACGACCCATTGGGAGCCTTTAGCATCGAACTCCATGGGAGCCCTTAACATCGAACACCATAGGGGCCTTCAATATTGAATACAATGGGAGTCTATAACATTGAATGCCATGGGAGCCTTTAACCTTGAACTCCATGGGAGCCTTTAACATCGAACACCATAGGGGCCTTCAATATTGAATATAATGGGAGTCTTTAACATTGAACGCCATGGGAATCTTTAACATTGAACGCCATCGGAGCCTTTATAGTTGAACGACTTCAAACTAAATTGGAAGTATTTTATCTGACACCATGACTTGAAAGCACGGGGCCCGGGGCAGTTGCCCCAATGATTCACCGTGCACCGTAGGCGACGGCTCTGAGTAGCAGCCTCCCTCGTTCGCTCTCTCCCCTCCCCCTCCCTCCCCCCCACCCCCACCCCTTGCTCGCCGCAGCCAGCGCCCTGCGGCTGACGGTCACTTACCGGGGCCTCCTGGCGCTCAGCCAAACCGTGGGCCCTGGGTCGATGGCCTGCGACTCCACCTACGGCTGCCTCCTCTTCCACGGCGCCTTGGACCGGGGGGAGGTCCGTGTTGGCGCTGCCTGTGACAGTTGATCAGCGTTGGGGCGGCCACGGTGGCGGCTAGGAGATGTTAACTATCTCGCCTGGTGTGCAGGAGGTCGTGGGTTTGATCCCGACCCTGACGCGTGCTGCTGTATATTTGGAGTTTGCGTGTCTCTCTCTATCCCCGTGGTCGCGTGGATTTTTCTCCGGTCCTCCGGTTTTTTTCTCCACATTTAGAATCAACATGCGCATATTTGGCTGCTATACATTTCCACGTGATAAGCCACTTCCATACTCTTTGATTCTTTCGGTGAAGTCACGTAACGTATAAAACGAAATAAATTAAATCACCACGTTTCGGGCGCAACACAAGCGTCCGTCATCAGGTGGGACAACCACAGCAAGAAACAATTGCTGAAGTGGGCAGAAGGGCTGCTGTAACAGGAGGCTATATATATTGATATAATTTAGATTGATATAAGCCACTTCGTTGAGCTATGACGTGTGGCCAGGTCACTTCTTTAAAAGAGCTACATTTCGATTTAAAGCTTTCGTGTCTGCAGGGATTCATCTTCTTGGTTCTTTCGGTAAAGTCACGTAGAACCTGGTCTTCACCTGATGACGGCTGCTTGCATTGTGGCCGAAACGTCGTGAGAATTATTTTATGTTTTATTTTATTATTTTTATTGTTTCCATTCTATGTGAATTTACCGAAAGAACCAAGAAGAAGAGCTACATTGCTTAGTGGCCCTTACCTGGTAAAATATAAATAGTTTAGTTTAAATAAAATAAAAAATTGGGTAACTAAAATTAATATGGTGAATAGGGATGGGGTATAGGAAGGGCGGTGAGTGGGTACCGGAATTCCGGGGGTGCCTCGGGATGGAGGGAAGGGGATGGGTCAGGGAAAAGAGGTGGGGGTCTTGAGAGAGGAGCGGAAACTCGACAGGGAGGGTGCTCGCTTATTGTGGAGTGGAAGTTTGTTCCAGTGTGAGGGGGCAAGTAGGGATAAGGAGCGGGAACGGGATTGTGCACAAGTAGAAGGGGCAACGGCGAGGAGTAGGAGAGATTTAGAGCAGAGCGGGCGGCAGGGGACATAAAACGAGATGAAGGAAGCGAGGTAAGGGGGGGAGAAGGCCATGACGAGTTGGTGAGGAGCTAAGGACGGAAGGAGCTGGTTGGGACAGAGGAGCGAGTGGCATTCGTTTTGTAAGAGAAGAAAAGGGCAAAGTCAGTAGCAGAGAGACAAGTGGAAAGGGCGGGGGAGGAGTTGGGGTGGGTGGGTGGAGAAGGTTATTAAGGGTAGAGAAGAGTAGGCGGGGATGAGAGGAAAGGGAGGGAAGGAGAGTGTGGAAGTAATTCTTATTCTTAGGTTTTTTCTGTTAAGTCACGTAGGTAAAAAACTTAAAATTAATAAAAGTAAAATAAAAAATCACGACGTTTCGGAGGCAACACAAGCTTCCGTCTTCAGGTGGAACCGTCACAGCCACGACAGCTTTTTTTTTTACTTGATATTTACTTGATACAGCTGTCGTGGCTGTGACGGTTCCACCTGAAGACGGAAGCTTGTGTTGCCTCCGAAACGTCGTGATTTTTATTTTATTTTACTTTTATTGATTTAAATTTTAATTTTTTACATACGTGACTTTACCGAAAAAACCTAAGAATATGAATCCTTGCAGTCACGAAAGCTTCAAATCTAGAATTAATGGAAGTAATTCTGTTTGGTTCCTTCCAGCGATGATAGAAATGGCCGGAGTAGGGAGAGGTAACGGGAGAGGGAAGATCGGAGCGTACGTGAGCTCCCCACGTGCGCTCCGATTTGCGCAGAGAGCGTTTGCTCGATTGGATGCAGGGGGTTAGCCGGGGGGCTGTTGGGGGGCTTCGGACGGTGAGAGCGGTTGTGCAGGGGAGCAAAGAGGTTGAGTGAGGTGTTGATGGTGGAGTGTAAGGTGGCAGAGGCAGCGTCTGGGTGGGGGGGTTTGGGAAGGAAAAAAGAGGGCAAGGAAGGGAGAAAGGAGGAGTTCCGGGAGATTAGGGACGCGGAGTCTCTAGTGAGCGGAGTTTGTGGGAAAGAAAGTGGTGGGGTGGGATGGGGCTGGGTACGGTGATGGTGAGGGAGAGGAGGAAATGGTCCGAGGGAGGGCGGGGGTCGGCTACAATGGGGGAAGCCTCACAATCTGATGTAAAGATGATGTGGAGGGTGCTGCCAAAGAAGTGAGTAGAGGGCGAGGGAAGGAGACGAACGTCGAAGGAGTTAGCGAGGGGAAGGAGGGTCGAGGCAATGGAGGGAAGAGCAAGATCCAGATTGAAATTAGCTAGAAGAATAAAAGGGAGCGGGAGAGGGAGGAACAGTTTGGGTGGTCGAGGAAGAGGATCGAGGGAACGGGGGGACGATAGATAATGAGTCGACGTGGTGGAGGCCCAGGACCGGTTCAGATAATTCACTGGTCAACAAAAAAAATTCTCGCCTGGACTTTTGCAGCTGTTCTAGTCTAAGTTCAGGGTGCTGATTCCAAATCTGATCTCAGATTTGCTCTATCACATCTCATTTTTATGCTATCGGCATACCCCATTTTCATTGATTTTACCCGAAATAAACTCTGTCACTTATGATTGCATGTTGTTGCGAGTCAGTGACTGCTTTAGTGTTAAAATATGGTGCTGTATTTTTAGGATAATGTGTTTATAATATCATTTTATGTAGATATCCACATTTATTTAATATTTTTCTTCTGCAGTTTGTATTGAAAATGCAATATTTGATATCTCAAAAACCTGACGTGATAGACAAAAACTGATGCCAGATTTGGAATCAGCACCCCAAAATTACCTTAAAACCGTTGGAATACCTTATGCCAGAAAAAGTGTGTTGACCAGTGTAATTGTCACTGGTGTTGGCCATGAGCGGGAATCGAACCCGGGTCACTGGGTTTGTAGTGCAGCGTAGCGCTAACCACTACGACACCACTCCCCCACACACTTTTGCCCGCAGGTGAACAGAAACTTCCTGTCTTCGAAGGAGCCCCAACTGTTTCCCGTGATGCTGCCTCGGCCACCGCAAGGTGACTCCATGAGTGGCAGCGACCGCAGACAGGTGCAGGAGAGGCTGGAGCTCATGGAGAACGGGCTGCTGCTGGAGGTGAGGGGTGAGGACGCGCGAGGGTGTACACTGCTTATACACACCACGTGTGTGTTGGTACACGTGTGTGTTGGTACACGTGTGTGTTGGTATACGTGTGTGTGTGTGTACACTGCTTATACACACCACGTGTGTGTGTGTACACTGCTTATACACACCACGTGGTGTGTGTTTATACACTGCTTTTACACACGTGTGTATGTGTACACTTGTGTGTGTGTACACGTGTGTGTGTGTGTACACTGCTCATACACACCACGTGTGTGTGTGTTGGTACACGTGTGTGTGTGTTGGTATACGTGTGTGTGTTGGTATACGTGTGTGTGTTGGTATACGTATGTGTGTGTTGGTATACGTGTGTGTGTGTACACGTGTGTGTGTGTACACGTGCGTGTTGGTATACGTGTGTGTGTGTGTACACGGGTGTGTGTGTTGGTACACGTGTGTGTGTGTTGGTATACGTGTGTGTGTGTTGGTATACGTGTGTGTGTGTGTTGGTATACGTGTGTGTGGGTACATGTGTGTGTGGGTACACGTGTGTGTGGGTACACGTGTGTGTTGGTACACGTGTGTGTTGGTACACGTATGGGTGTGTGTACACGTGTGTGTTGGTACACGTGTGTGTTGGTACACGTGTGTGTGTGTGTACACGTGTGTGTTGGTACACGTGTGTGTGTGTGTGGGGAGCGGTAGTGTAGTAGTTAGCGCGCTGCGCTACGAACCTGGCCACCCGGGTTCGATTCCCACTCACGCCAGAATCGGTGACGATTATCTGAACCGGTCCTAGGCCTCCCCTAGGTCGACTCAGCCTCAAACGAGTACCTGGTGGCGGTGTTGAAACATCGTCACTAGGGAGACAAAGGCAGTCGGGCATGGTGCTGGCCACCCACCCCCTCGTGTACCCTTCCAGCCTTCATAGGTGCTCGCTAACAGCACTTGCCCCTACAGTGTGTTTAAGGCTACAGGGTGATCTTTGTTGTTTTGTTTGCATGTATGTGTTTTTCTATGCATATGTGTTTGTGTGTATATCCCCCGGCCCTGTCCTCAAGTGCTGGAGGGTTCATCCCAAGTTTTCTGTGGGAAGGTTGAACCCCAGTTTAACACGCAGTAGTAGCGGTAGGATTCTTTCGCGACCAATATCCACAAGAGTTTTTTTTTGGTGTAGATCGCGTAAATATTAATGTGCCGTTAAACCCGCCACCACCCCACACAGCCCAATCAGGAAAGGGTTGTCACGTAAACAAAACGTGGCCCATTATGTACGAGTCTGGCGCTAACCGGTTGTGCGTTGGAGTGTAAAGCCACTACAGCATTTACAACTCGAGTCCAGTACTGTGACGTTTCGCCGGTAATTACAACAACAACCACAACAACAACAACCACAACAATAACAACAACCACAACAACAACCAGCCTCGTGAACCCCCCAAGACTTCACCGCTTGGTGGTCGGGTCACTGGTGACGTTTACCATCGGTGATGTTTGCCATCAGCCGGGAGCCACGCCATCCAGATGTAGGAGACTGTCATCGGTTCGTCGGGGTTTGGAGCGTGTTCCAGGAGGGGCTGCAAGATTTCAGACATGCGCGTGGGTGATGTTGATGATGTTAATGTTGATTATGTTGATGATTATGTTGTTGATGATGTTGTTGATGATGATTTTGATGTTGATGATTATGATGTTGATGATTTTTAGGATGTTGATGATGTTGATAATGTTGTTGATGTTAATGATATTGATATTGTTGATGATGTTGTTGTTGATGATGTTGATATTGTTGATGATGTTGTTGTTGATGATGTTGATATTGTTGATGTTGATGATGATGTTGATGATTATGATGTTGATGATTTTTAGGATGTTGATCATGTTGTTGATGTTAATGATATTGTTGCTGATGTTGTTTATTTTGATGATGTTGTTGATGATGATTTTGATGATGATATTGATGACGTTGATGATGTTGACAATGTCGAGTGTAGGTAACTCCGCTGGGGATTTTCTGCACCCGTCTCTGCCGTTGCCGTGTCTACGTTTCTGGACCCGAGACCCAGAAGCCGCAGGGAGACCCCCAATCCCTGCCCAGGCCCAAGAGCTCTGGGAGCGCCCGGCAACTCATCTTTGACTTCAAAGAATTCCAACGAAGTGAGAGCGGAACGCACTCGCACACACACACAGATAAATACCCCCGTATAGCCTCAGCAGACTCTAGGGGCAAGCGCTGTGAGCGAGCACCTCTACGAAGGCCGGAACGGCACACGAGGGGGTGGGTGGCCAGCACCTCGCTCGACCGCCTTTGTCTCCCCAGTGGCGATGGTTTTACACACCACACCAGGTACTCGTTTGAGGCTGAGTCGACCTAGGGGAGGCCCAGGACCGCTTCAGATAGTCATCAGTGGTGTTAGCCGTGAGCGGGAATCGAACTCAGTTCCCCAGGTAAGTAGTGCAGCACGCCAACTGCCAGGGTACCACTACCCACAAGTACACACAAAGATCCCCCGTATAGCCTTCATAGATACTTGCCCTTAAGTTGGCAATTGAACTCGGGTCGCCAGGTTCGATTCCCAGGACCGGTTCAGCGATTATCTGAACCGGTCCTGCGCCTTGCCTAGGTCAACTCAGCCTCAAATGAGTACCTGGAGCGGTGTGTAGTAAACATCGCCACTGGGGAGACAAAGGCGGTCGGGCGTGGTGCTGGCCACCCCACCCCCTCGTGTGCCAAAGTGCCAGGCCTTCATAGGCGCTTGTTGGGGGGTGGGTAACTGTCTTTGTGGTTCTTACCGTCACGCAGAGATGCAGGACTACATCAGGACCCCCCTGGACAGCCTCGTGCACGCCCCCAGTCACGAGGTGACGCTCTGCATCGGCACAAAGTGGCCAGACGGCGAGGAAGTTCACAGGAAGCCCATCGCCGTGCGGGTATGGGCCCACGGGGCCACGCTCGTACTTGTGTGTCTGTGTGTGTGTTTGTGTGTACGTGTGTGTGTCTGTGTGTGTGTCTGTGTGTGTGTCTGTGTGTGTGTCTGTGTGTACGTGTGTGTACGTGTGTGTGTGTGTACGTGTGTGTGTACGTGTGTGTGTGTGTCTGTGTGTGTGTCTGTGTGTCTACGTGTGTGTGTCTGTGTGTACATGTGTGTACGTGTGTGTGTCTGTGTGTGTATCTGTGTGTGTGTCTGTATGTCTGTCTGTACGTGTGTACGTGTATGTGTGTGTCTGTGTGTACGTGTGTGTGTGTGTGTCTGTGTGTACATGTGTGTGTGTCTGTGTGTGTACGTGTGTGTGTCTGTGTGTACGTGTGTACGTGTGTGTGTCTGTGTGTACGTGTGTCTGTCTGTGTGTACGTGTGTGTGTGTCTGTCTGTGTGTACGTGTGTGTCTGTGTGTACGTGTCTGTGTGTGTGTCTGTGTGTGTACGTGTGTGTGTCTGTGTGTACATGTGTGTGTGTCTGTGTGTGTCTGTGTGCGGTAGTGTAGCGGTTAGCGCTACGCTGCGCTACCAACCTGGCGGACGATTATCTTAGGTCGACTCGGCGTTAAACCAGTACCTGGTGCAGTGTGTATACATCGCCACTGGGGAGACAAAGGCGACCGGGCGTGGTGCTGGCCACCCACCTCCTCGTGTGCCGTGCCGACCTTCAAAGTTGCTCGCTAGCAGCACTTGCCCCAAGAGTTTGTTCAGGCTACATGGAGGATCTTTATCTTCATCTTCATGCATGTGTACACGTGCGTACACATGTCTGTGTACATACGTATATGTTTCTATATGTATATATATGTTCGTGTGTATGTATATAACGTTTATTTATTTTCCCAGGTAAGGCCCACCTGAGCTACGTCGCTCTTTCTCAGAAGCGACCTGGCTCGACGAAGTGGCTCATCGTGGGAACATTTACAGCAGCCAAATACTCTAAACGCGTGTTCATTCTAAACATACAAACTCCAACTATACAGGCGTCTGTGGGTCGGGATCGAATCCACGATTTCCTGGATACGAGGCGAGGGAGTTAACATCTGATAGCCACCGTGGTGACGCTGGCCACCCACCGCCACCCTCTCGTGTGCCACAGTGCCGGCTTTCATAGGCGCTGCTGCTGCTATTGCTATAAACAGCCACTTTGTTAAGGCTTTAGTGGGGGGGTTGCCCTTTGTTCTCTGCTGTCTCAGGTGGAGCACTTGAGGTCGCACGCCATCGTCGACGGATTCAAGCACTTGGGCGTCTGCCCGCGAGACGCTCGCCCCGACTGCTCGGACCCCAACTCTGCCGACAGATTCCTGGATTTGCTCAAGAAACTCGAGCTGGGGAGCAGTGCCTATGACCAGCAGCAGCAGCAGTAGCCCCAGCAGTAGCCATAGCATCATTAGCCCCAGCAGCAGCACCAGCAGTAGTAGCAGCAGTAGCACCAGTAGCAGCAGCAAGAAAGTAATAATTATTTCCAGGGTGACAGCTGCATTGGTGATGCTAGCAACTCACAGCAAGATGGTCTCTGGGTTCGATTCTCGACTCTGCGTGGAGTTTGTATGATCTCCCCCTGTTCTACAGAGTGAGTGGAGTTTGTATTGTCTCGCCCTGTTCTACAGAGTGAGTGAGTGGAGTTTGTATGATCTCCCCCTGTTCTACAGAGTGAGTGAGTGGAGTTTGTATGACCTCCCCCTGTTCTACAGAGTGAATGGGTGGAGTTTGTATGACCTCCCCCTGTTCTACAGAGTGAGTGAGTGGAGTTTGTATTATCTCCCCTTGTTCTACAGAGTGAGTGGAGTTTGTATGATCTCCCCGTTCTACAGAGTGAGAGTGAGTGGAGTTTTTGTGATCTCCCCCTGTTCTACAGAGTGGAGTTTGTATTATCTCCCCCTGTTCTACAGAGTGAGTGAGTGGCGTTTGCGTGATCTCCCCCTGTTCTACAGAGTGAGTGGAGTTTGTATGATCTCCCCCTGTCCTACAGAGTGAGAGTGAGTGGAGTTTGTGTGATCTCCCCCTGTTCTACAGAGTGAGTGTAGTTTGTATTATCTCCCCCTGTTCTACAGAGTGAGTGGAGTTTGTATGATCTCCCCCTGTTCTACAGAGTGAGTGAGTGGAGTCTGTATGATCTCCCCCTGTTCTACAGAGTGAGTGAGTGAGTGGAGTTTGTATTATCTCCCCCTGTTCTGCAGAGTGAGTGAGTGAGTGGAGTTTGTATTATCTCCCCCTGTTCTACAGAGTGAGTGGGTGGAGTTTGTATGATCTCCCCCTGTTCTACAGAGTGAGTGGAGTTTGTATGACCTCCCCCTGTTCTACAGAGTCAGTGAGTGGAGTTTGTATTATCTCCCCCTGTTCTACAGAGTGAGTGGAGTTTATATTATCTCCCCCTGTTCTACAGAGTGAGTGGAGTTTGTATGATCTCCCCCTGTCCTACAGAGTGATAGTGAGTGGAGTTTGTATGATCTCCCCTTGTCCTACAGAGTGAGTGGAGTTTGTGTGATCTCCCCCTGTTCTACAGAGTGAGTGAGTGGAGTTTGTTTTATCTCCCCCTGTTCTAAAGAGTGAGTGGGTGGAGTTTGTATGATCTCCCCCTGTTCTACAGAGTGAGTGAAGTTTGTATGATTTACCCCTGTGCTACAGAGTGGAGTTTGTATGATCTCCCCCTGTTCTACAGAGTAAATGATTGCGTGGAGTTCCTACACTTTGACATTAGAGAATGAGACTCTACACTGGGACATGACAGCAATAGTCTCTACACTGTGACATGAGAGCATTAGTCTCTACACTCTACACTGTGACATGGCATCATGAGTCTCTACACTGTGACATGGTATCATGAGTCCCTGTTGCCGTTTTCTAAGTAAAATGTAAAACGTGTTAATGATATCGTGTTTATGGTATCGTGTTTACACTATTATTAAATTGTATTTATAGTAACACCCCAATTTACGCCCTTCCGCTGTTCGTGATTTACCTCTAACGCACTCGACTTGCCGGTACCAAATCGCGTTTCACGTCCCCAGCCACCTCGCCATAACACACTCGAGATTTGCGAACTTTACCATCGAGACCCAACTTTGTGTAGTGACGCAGTTCGGAGACAGGAATTATTGGAGGCACCTTTATTCTTTGCACAATGGGGACTATACGCACCCTACGTGGGTGTACACTTTATATATTACACACACAACCGTCGATTGTCGGCGACACTATCGAGCTGTGACGGAGGCTTGTGTTGCGCCCGAAACGTCGTGATTACATTTTTTTTTGTATACCTACGTGACTTTACCGAAATAACCAAAGAGTTTGTGATTTTATTAGTTTACACTTGAACTTTATGGCGGGAACCCGGGGTCCCATAAGCCCCCGGCTCTCGCCTAAACTGCGTTGCTACGTCATTCTATGTCTGTTGAAGGCGAACAATACGGCAATCTATTCCTCTCGACTCGCTCTACAGTCTACACGATGTCCTAATCAAAGTTTCAAAGTTTTGTTTCTTCTACGCATTCGACCTCGCTGCGCTTGCATGACATAACAGAATGATCCGCGCCAGGTGGGTCGCGGCGTGTCTGTGCACGGTGGGATGGGGTCACCAAAAATATATCAATTACGATTTTTACTTCTGTTTATACAGGTAGGAACAACAGGTCCACACTGCCCACCAGGGATTATGTGTCTGTCTGTCGTGCAAAGCCACGCCCTCGATTTGTATTTCATAGAAGAGCGCTTCGGGCAGGCTCAGCGCCACGTGACGCGCCGCCCCACGCAGCTTGCGCCGCGTGACACGGATCGCACGAATGCGCCGTCCAACCAAGTTCCTACCTGCCCACTCCGAAGGAACGTGTTTGAACTCAGTCTGTTGTGTTTAGGGTCCCCGGGGTCCCGCCATAAGGTTCACTTGACCAAGGGCAAAAACAAATGGCGCGTTTTCGTCCGAAAGTTTCGTGTGTTGTATCTGTGTACTTTGTTGAAACGTAAACCCAACAGTTTGTCAGTTAAAAGCGTTGTAAGGATAGGCACGCGCAGATAGACAGACAAAAATGACGTTTATAGGTAAGATATACAACAATCCCTCGCCAAACGTGGAGGTTAGGTTCCTGTAAAATGTCACGGGAGGCAAATCCGCGGTTGTTGAAGTACACTAGTACAGGGCCCTAAGGGAAATACGGGGTTAGGGGAGCCACGGCCGCGGTCAGACTCGCCATAGCTTAACCAAGTTGCCTGTTTATTAACTAAACGCCGAATAAACTCCAGTACATTACACAATAAGGTAATAATACATATAAACTGTTGCATTAACTTCATGTACCTTTAATGTTAATGATGGTGATGACAATGAGATGATGGGGGAACGGCTGGCTATAAGGAGCCAGAGACACACCGCACTCACCTTCACCACTCACTTACCACGCTCTCGGCTCTACAATTGAGAGGACAAAATGAACGTGAATGCGCTTGCGACAGAGGTCGCAAACGGGTTTTGATTCCTTACCTGTACCCGGCTGCACCAGGGTCGCAAACGGGTACCCGTACCCATACCCGGCCGGGTATGGGTACCCGTACGCTACCCATACCCTACCCGAAATGAGTGACAAACGGTGACTCACCAGTGACTCACGGCCTACCCGTACCCGGCCGCACCAGGGTCGCAAACGGATAGCCGGGTATCGGGTAGGGTATCGGGTACCCGGTTGCGACCTCTGGCTTACGACGCGACGTGGTCTAACGCGCTGCGAGAATTCGAGTAGCAGTTCACGGTACAACGAGAACTGATGGTGGCAGCTGATCAGCTTCGCAGCGGCCACGGGGTGGCGCTGTGGCGCGGAAGGAGACCCACGGCTCCGCGAAATTAGTGGCAATGACGTCACGCAAAACAATGACGTCATGTCGCAACGCAATGACATGGTAAACGCGTCATGTGGCTTCCTTGACACCGCGTGCTTGCTTACCCATGGATACTCAAATTTCCCAACCGCGATTGGTTAATGGGTCCCCATTGGAACCTCATTTGCCAGTAAAAAATATGATAATTGTTTTTTTTACCCTTTTGTCTGGCAACAAAACGGACACCTTTTTTACAAGGAGTCATGTTTACATAGACCACAATACCTGCAGTCATAATGCAAACCAAAAAACATAACTCTGATAATGATATGCACTGTCCTTGAAGTTGATTGGTCCACACTCGAGACAGCTTTCCTTAGAGCCTAGTCGCAAATGGTGTTGGACCATGTGAAAAAAAGGTGTCAGTTTTGTTGCCAGATAAAAGGGTAAAAAAACGATCATATTTTTTTACTGGCAAATGAGGTTCCAATGGTGTAAATGCTTACCCCGAGCTCTCATACTCTGATGGTGCATTGTCTTTGAGTTGTGCGCCTTTTGGCGTCATCTGGTCCAACACCATGTGAGACTAGGCTCTAAGGAAAGCTCTCTCGGGTGTGGACCAATCAACTTCAAGGACAGTGCATACATTATCAGAGTTGTGTTTTTTGTTTGCATTATGACTGCAGGTATTGTGGTCTATGCAAACATGACTCCTCGTAAAAAAGGTGTCCGTTTTGTTGCCAGATAAATGGTTAATGGGTGTTCAAGTAATACACCGTGTAGACATGAAACTGTTTGGCAAGTCCGCGGTTGGCGAGGGATTGCTGTACACTTACTATTGAGCATCCTCTGTTTAGGTTCTGTACGATGTCACGATCCACCATACCATCACTAGTAGTAGTAGGTTCAATACCACATTATGATTCACCATCCCATCTCTAGTAGTCGTGCCTACAACTACTAGGTGGTGGATTGTAGCGTAAACTATATGTATGATTATCCGTATAGTATGTATAATACGTGGTACAGTACCTACTAGTAGTTACGATCCACTATCCCATCTCTAGAAGTAGTAGGTACTCTACGACCCACCATCCCATCTTGGCTTTGATTGAAGTATTTTCCATTTACTTTCTGGTTTTCAGGAACGCATCCGGGGTGTAACCCGGACTATGCCTGTACTTTTATAAACTAATTTCTTTACAACTGCTTCTCGTGTTTAGTTTATTGTCTTTTCACCCGTACCTCCGATCAGCACGGTTGGCTACGTATGGTGCAAAGGAAGTTTAACATAGTACTTGTTTCTACCGCTTTAAAGTAATCTTTATTTCTTAAGTAATTCCATTTCTAATGTATTCTTTTAGACCTGCTGCTCGTTATTTTCTGCGATGCATCCGTGTTTGACAATGTTCTATTCATTTCGTTTCAATTATATAATTCTATAACAGCAGCACCTTGCCACGATCATTTATTGGCAGACTCCGTAGGAAAAAAACAATGGCGCTTTATTAATTGACTTTCTCGACAAAAAAGTGAGAAATTATTGGAGGGATCATCGCTCTCCTAGGGAGAGAGGGGACGACTCAGAGGCGCCCAGAAGAAGGAACCACAGATGAGGTGAGGAGCCAGTGTTACAGATAACTGCCCAAGCTCTGGTTGTATCTCCCAATTAATGAGTGTTTACATGTGGGAGGAGGACACCGGAGAGAAACCCACACATGCGAGGGGGAAACACTCTATCCCATACAGGGGTGAAGAGGTGGAGTCCACCTTGCTATAGCGCCTTCTGGCACAGCCTGTGTTATGGCTCCTCCTCGACGCCCACCCACAGATGGAATTTGAACTTCTTTCGCACCGTATGTAGCCAACCGTGCTAATCGGAGATGCGGGGGAAGGACAAAAAATTATGGGTCTCTGTGTGAGTCTATGGGTCTCTGTGTGAGTCTATGGGTCTCTGTGTAAGTATATAGGTCTCTGTGTGAGTCTATGGGTCTCTATTCAGTCTATAGGTCTTTGTGTGAGTCAATGGGTCTCTGTGTAAGTATATAGGTCTCTGTGTGAGTCTATGGGTATCTATGCTAATCGGAGGTGCGGGTGAAGGACAACAAACTATGCATCTCTGTGTGTCTATGGGTCGTTGTGTGAGTCTATGGGGATCGTTGTGTGAGTCTATGGGTCGTTCGTTGGCACCGTACGTAGCCAACTGTGCTAATCGGAGGTGTGGGGTAAGGACAACAAACTTACACAAAAATCAGTTCTAACGAAATTAGTTTTCAATCCAGATTATTTAAAAGCCCATAGCTCATGGTGGCTTCCTAATATCGGAAGGAAGCACGTTCCAGACAGCCGCAGAAGCGCATCTGAAAGCGCCTCGCGATGTGGCGCCCACCGTCTTTGTTCGATGGCGAGCCCCAAGAGCTGCTGCTGCTGCTGCGAGGATGACTGGAGTTCCCGATCCTTGACGAGATGGAATTATTGTTGATAATGCGTCACCTAAATGTGGATCATAGCCAAACACTGACCCCGAGTTTTATTGTAATCAACAATGGAGATGTAATCATGTGCACAATACACTGTCCCGAATACAGTTTACAATGTGCCCAATACAGTGTACACTGTACCCAATACAGTTTACACTGTACCCAATACAGTTTACACTGTCCCCAATACAGTTCACACTGTACTCAATACAGTTTACACTGTACCCATTACAGTTTACACTGTACCCATTACAGTGTACAAAAACAGTATACACTGTACCCAATACAGTTTAAACTGTACCCAATACAGTTTACACTGTACCCAAAACAGTGTACACTGTACCCAATACAGTTTACACTGTACCCAATACAGTTTACACTGTGCCCAAAACAGTTTACACTGTACCCATTACAGTTTATACTGTGCCCAATACAGTTTACATTGTGCCAAATACAGTTCGCAACTGGCATCGTCAGGGTCGGGATCGAACCCACAACCTCCTGTAATACCAGGCGAGGTAGTCAACATCTCCGAGCCATTGTAGCGTTAAGGTCGAGATCAAACCCACGACCTCCTGTATACCGGGCGAGGTAGTCAACATCTCAAAGCCACCGCGGCACTTTGACTTTGTGAGAAATTGCAATCGAGTGACTTGCGGCGTCAACTTATTTTCCATTTTTGTCTTCTTTGCCATTGAAAATTTTGACTGCAACTCCAAGGCATGCCGATGATGGCCGACTACTTTTTTGCGAACGACGTCTCCGGGAGACCTTTAACGTCCGCTCCGATAAAATCTTTAACAATGCTCCACAATAGTATTAACTCGTCGGGGGGTACGGCCCACCGGTGTTAGGAACCGCGATCGTTCTGCGACTGGGCCATCGCGCTCACCACCCCTTTCATCGCGTGGTGGAGAATGCTGCGGAGCGCTTATGGTCGTAAAAGTAGTCATCTCTGCCCTCCTCCTCATCCTCCTCCTCATCGGCCCAGCGGACTCGGTTGCTGCTGTAGTTGGATTCCAGAAGCTTCTGAGCGGTGCGGTAGCTCTTCCAAGCCTCCTCGCTCCATCCCATGCCTTCTAAATCCTCCTCATCACCATCATCACCCTCATCCTCGTCATCATCCACACCACGACCACCTCTACTGCCACACTTGCTGCCGCTGCTGTAGCTACAGACACTGTCGCATTCGACGACATCGCAGGGGGCACTGCGCCTGCCGCCGCCGCCGCTGGCGTTCGTGCAGCGGATGTCAGTGGCCATCCTCCTCCCCTCGCCCCGACACCGCTCCTCCGCTGCAGCTGCACTCCTCCGGCCTGGGCCCTGAGGCCGTGGGTCTGCGTCGGGCCAGTGACAGTCGTCGGATGCCTCCCCATCATCGCCTCTCCTCCACTCTGACTCCGGGCACCCGCGCACTTCTCTCGCTTCCCCGAGGTAACGGTCATTGCTTGTGGCATCCTCCCCATGACGGCTTCTTACCCTTGACTCCGACGCTACGAACTCTTCCCGGATCTCCCCGGGACCGTATCTCAACCTTGACTCCGATGCTCCGAACTCTTCCCGGACCTCCCCGGGACCGCATCTCAACCTTGACTCCGATGCTCCAAACTCTTCCCGGATCTCCCCAGGACCACATCTCAACCTTGACTCCGATGCTCCGAACTCTTCCCGGATCTCCCTGGGACCGCATCTCAACCTTGACTCCGATGCTCCGAACTCTTCCCGGATCTCCGCGGGACTGCATCTCAACCTTGACTCCGATGCTCCGAACTCTTCCCGGATCTCCCCAGGACCACATCTCAACCTTGACTCCGACGCTACGAACTCTTCCCGGATCTCCCCGGGACCGCATCTCAACCTTGACTCCGATGCTCCGAACTCTTCCCGGATCTCCCCGGGACCACTCCTAAAGTCCGCGTTCGGCCAGCGACACTGGTTTGTTACCTCCTCGTGACCTCCCCTCCCATCTGACTCCGAGCACCCGCGCACTTCTCTCCCCTCCGTGTGACCGCATCTCAGCATCGAGTCCGGCTCTCCGTGCTCTCCTCTGCCCCTCCCGTGACCCTCTCGCGAAAGCGGCGAGGGCACGTGGAGGCGCTGCTCCGGAATCTTTTTGCTGCTGTCCTGCCTCAAACTCAGAGCCTGACGCCCCTCCTCCCGCTCCTCCTCCACGTTCCCCGCGTGACCGCTTCTGAACGTCGAGTCCGGCGCTCCGTGCTCCGTTCTCGTCTCCCCGTGGCTGCTTCTCGACACGGGGCAGGGCGTGTGGCCGACCTGCGGCCTCGTCCCACGGGTCTCCGCTGCCTCCCTCCTATCCCCACTTCTCCCCTGGTACTGATTCGTGGCTTCTTCACGGCCGCTTCTGAACCTCGACCCAGGCTCAGTACACACCTCCGTGACCTCCACGTGACCACTTTTGGACCTTGACCCAGGCTCCGTATACACCTCTGTCACCTCCACGTGACCACTTTTGGACCTCGACCCAGGCTCCGTACACACCTTCGTGACCTCCACGTGACTGCTTCTCAGGTGGCACTGGTCCGTGACCTCGTTGAGACAGCTTCTTGACCTTAACTCAGTCTGCGTACACACTTGGTTGACCTCGATGTGACCGCTTCTGAACCCAGGCTCCGTACACACTTTCGTGACCTCCACGAGACTGCTCCTCAAGTGCGTTTGGTCCGTGACGTCGTTGAGATCGCTTCTTGACCTTGACCCAGTCTCCGCACACACCTCCGTGACCCCCACGTGACCGCCTCTTGATCCGGCCTCTGTACCCTCTCGCATATCCTTCCCGTGACTGCCCATCGTAACCGTAAGCTCTTCCGCCACTTGCCCACAACTGCTTACCACGACGGAGTCCGCCCCGTGACATTCCCCCGTGACCACTCCGAGGCTAATCCTCAGGCAGCAGCGATCCGTGACTTCCTCGTGACTTGTGCTCACCATCGACCCAGTCTGTACAGACTCTTCCCTCAACTCCTTGCCGTGAATGCTTCCCACGCTTGGACTCGGATCTCCGAACGCTTCCGTGACCTTTGTAAGATTGCTCCTGGAGTCCGACTCTCCCCTGACGTGCTCGTCCTTGACCTCCCTCCCGTCACTGCTTGGCACGCGCGGACTAAGAACTCCACAATGGCCCATGACCCCCTCCCCGTGACCGCTCTCTACTTCTGAGTCCGACTCTCGGCACTCGTCCTCGTCCTCCGTGTCGCTCCTTCTCAACCTCGGCTCCTCCGTGACCTAATAAAAATACAAATATTATTTTATTTGACCAGGTCAGGCCCACTGAGCTATGTAGCTCTTTTTGAGAAGCGACCTGGCGATCACAAATGATAGCTCAACCGAGTGGCTTATCATGGAGTCGCCACTCAGAGGCCCACAGACTCACCACACAGAGACCCATAGACTCACCACACAGAAACCCATAGACTCACCACACAGAGGCCCACAGACTCACACAGAGACCTATAGACCCATCACACAGAGCCACAGACTCGCACACAGACCCACAGACTCACTACACAGAGACCCACAGACTCACTACACAGAGACCCACAGACTCACCACACAGAGACCCACAGACTCACCACACAGAGACAGACTAAACTAATACAAAAAATACTATTTTCGTTACCAAATGATGGCTTAACGAAGTGACTTTTTACGTGGAAATCTATAGCGGAGGCCAAATATTCTAAACGCGTGATGTCAATTCTAAATCTGGAGGGAAAAACTGGAGGATCGAGAGAAAAATCCACACAACCACGGGCAGAGGGACACGCAAACTCCAAATATACATCGTCATCAGGGTCGGGATCGAACCCACGACCTCCTGCATCGTTCCCAAATATATTTTACATTGTGGGGAGATGTTAACGACCTCACCTGGTATGCCGGAGGTATATTTGGAGTGTTCATGTTCTCCCCGTGGTCGCATGGGGTATTCTCCCAATCGTCATGCCAACAGGCATCGTCTGGGTCGCTGGGATCGAACCCACGAACTCCCGCATACCCAGTGAGGGAGTTAACATCTCATAGCCACCGCAGCGCCCCTCATTAGAAACAAAGATCCCCCATGTAGCCTTACCAGACTGTTGGGGTAAGTGCTGTTGTATAGCCGGTATGAAGGCCGGCACGGTACGCATGGGGGTGGGTGGCCAGCACCACGCCCGACCGCCTTTGTCTCCCCCAGCGTCCACGTTTACAACACATCACCACACCAGCTACTTATTCGAGGCGGAGTCGACCCCCCTCTCACGCACAAACAACACGCAGCAGCAGTCGTCAGGGCACCACGGGGATCGGACCCACGACCTCCCGCATATCCAGTGAGCAGAGCCGGCCCAGCCACTAAGCGACCCTTGCAATTGCAAAGGGCCCCGTGGCCAGCAGAGGGCCCCCTAGAGTCACTGCTAGCTCGTGGGTGAAAACAATCATACATCAAAGGGGCCTCCAACCAAATTTTGCTTAGGGCCCCCAAAGGTCTAGGGCCGGCTCTGCCGGTGAGGGATTTAACATCTCATAACCACCCCCCCCCCTTACCTCCCCGTGACGTCTCTGCAGCCGCACCTGGCCGCCCCCTCCGGGACCGCCGTCGGCCGCCCCCCCTCCTCCTCCTCCTCCGCGACCGCCCGACGGTGGCCCCCAGCCGTGGCCACGTGGCTCCCCCCTCTCGGCCTCGAGTCGCTCGACGCGCAGCTCCAGCGAGCGGGGCCAGCGCGGCTCCGTCGCCTCGTGGAGCAGCGGCCGAGGCCTGGCGCACCGGGCAGAAGGGGGCATCGTGGAACTGCTTCGGGGGGGGGGGGGGGGGGGGGGGGGGGCTACGGTTGGTTTGGTTCGTGTTCGCTAACAGCACTTGCCACAACGGTTTGTTCAGGCTATCGGGGGGATCTTTGTCTTTGTTTGTATGTGATGTATGAGGTGGCTAGGAGATGTCGTCTCCCTCGCCTGGTGTGCATGAGCTCATGGATTCGATCCTGGACACTGACGTTGCCTGCTGCTGTATATTTGGAGTTGGCGTATTTTCTATGTCTATGGGTCTCTGTGTGGTGAGTCTGTGGATCTCTGTGTGATGAGTCTGTGGGTCTCTGTGCGGTGAGTCTGTGGGTCTTTGTGTGGTGAGTCTGTGGGTCTCTGTGTGGTGAGTCTGTGGGTCTCTGTGTGGTGAGTCTATGGGTGTGTGTGTGGTGAGTCTGTGGGTCTCTGTGTGATGAGTCTGTGGGTCTCTGTGCGGTGAGTCTGTGGGTCTCTGTGTGGCGAGTCTATAGGTCTCTGTGTGGTGAGTCTATGGGTCTCTGTGTGATGACTCTGTGGGTCTCTGTGTGGTGAGTCTGTGGGTCTCTGTGTGGTGAGTCTGTGGGTTTCTGTGTGGTGAGTCTGTGGGTCTCTGTGTGGTGAGTCTGTGGGTCTCTGTGTGATGAGTCTGTGGGTCTCTGTGTGGTGAGTCTATGGGCCTCTGTGTAGTGAGTCTGTGGGTCTCTGTGTGATGAGTCTGTGGGTCTCTGTGTGGTGAGCCTGTGGGTCTCTGTGTGGTGAGTTTAGAGTATTCGGCTCCTACTATACATTTCCACACGTGATGATGAGAAGCCACTTCGCTGAGCTGTCGTTTGTGGCCAAATTGCCTCTGAAAAAGAGCTACATAGCTCAGTGGGCCTTACCTGGGTATTTAAATCGTTTTAGTTGAACACGTGTTGGTTTTTGCGACCAATATCACGCATAATACAGATTTAATTTTGGGTGAGATCGCCTAAATATAAATGTGCCGTTAAACTCTCCACCACTCGACACCGCCAATTGGTGAGGTTTGTCACGTAAACAGAACGTGCCAATTCGTTATGGGTACAGCACACCGGTGTGTTGGAGAGCGAATCTACAGCACCCCCAAAATAACCTGTATCGTGGATACAGAGTTTAGTTTAGTCTTAGTTTAGCAGAAGGTGATATCACGGATGATCTTCTGAGCTCCCTACGAGTAACTTTATATGCGCACATTTCCCCATGTCTGGAGACGTTCATCGCATGACAATATTAAAAACAATATGAGTTGAAGCTAGTAGTCATGGAAGTTGGTCAGGTTAAATTAAACATACAATTATTTAATGGTCCCGGGTATTTCGTGGAGGTTTTGGTAACTGGATGGCCACCAGATCATTAAGAAATTCCCTAAATTATGCAAGAATCTCACAACCACCGAACTACTCAGCCACCCACACACCCCCCTGCCCCTCCCACTCACCACCCAGACACCCCCTCCTGCCCCCACCACTCAGTCACCCACACCCCCCTGCCCCTCCCACTCACCACCCCCCCCCTGCCCCCACCACTCAGCCACCCAGACACCCCCCTGCCCCCACCACTCACCACCCACACACCCCCCACTGCCCCCACCACCCACACACCCCCCTGCCCCTCCCACTCACCACCCACACACCCCCCCTGCCCCCACCACCCAGACACCCACACCCCCCCCTGCCACTCCCACTCACCACCCACACACCCCCCCTGCCCCCACCACTCAGCCACCCACACACCCCCCCTGCCCCTCCCACTCAGCCACCCACACACCCCCCCCTGCCCCTCCCACTCACCACCCACACACCCCCCCTGCCCCCACCACTCACCACCCACACACACCCCCCTGCCCCTCCACTCACCACCCACACACCCCCCACTGCCCCCACCACCCACACACCCCCCTGCCCCTCCCACTCACCACCCACACACCCCCCCTGCCCCCACCACTCAGCCACCCACACACCCCCCCTGCCCCCACCACTCAGCCACCCACACACCCCCCCTGCCCCTCCCACTCAGCCACCCACACCCCCCCCCCTGCCCCCACCACTCACCACCCACACACCCCCCACTGCCCCCACCACTCACCACCCACACACCCCCCACTGCCCCCACCACCCACACACCCCCCTGCCCCTCCCACTCACCACCCACACACCCCCCCTGCCCCCACCACTCAGCCACCCACACACCCCCCCTGCCCCCACCACTCAGCTACCCACACACCCCCCTGCCCCCACCACTCAGCCACCCACACACCCCCCCCTGCCCCTCCCACTCAGCCACCCAGACACCCCCCCCTGCCCCCACCACTCACCACCCACACACCCCCCCTGCTCCCCCCACTCAGCCACCCAGACACCCCCCCCTGCCCCTCCCACTCACCACCCAGACACTAGCCCTACCCAGGCTGTCAGGTTCAGATTCAGCGTTGTGGTCAGAGTCGGGCTGCCGTTTGGGGTGAAAGTCGTCGGGGTGAGTGAAGAGCCGTCCGCTCACTCGCTCCGCTCTCTCCCCTCCTCGAGGGGACGGCCCCAGTTGGACTCCAGCTCCACCAGCCGCGCCCGCAGGCCCGCGACCTCCCGGCGGGCGCCCAGCGTCCACCACGTCAGCGCCGCCAGGAGCGGCCGCTGCTGCCGGGGCCCATCGGCCCGTCGCTTGGCGGCCTCTGGCTTGGCCGTCCCAGGCCCGGGGGCCCCGGATCCGGGCCGCCCGGCCTCCTCCCGGTCCGCGCTCGGGGCCGACGGCTTCCCAGCGACGGGCCGAGGGGCCGCGTCCGAGCGACGCGTTGGTGCCTGCGCGGTGAAGGAGGGGAAACGGCGGCGCTCACGACAGAGAGGGGCACGTGGATTAGGGAGCGCGCCTACACACACATGGTGGAGACATCATCATCATCACTACATTGAACTTCATCGAACAGTGTATAGACCATGATGGTGATTATACTGAGAGGCAGAGAGATTCATAAACAGAGAGCCACAGACTCATGCACAGAGACCCACAGACTCACCACACAGAGACCCATAGACTCCCAAAATAGACCCATAGAATCGCATAAAAACCCACAGACTCGTACAGAGACCCACAGACTCCCATAATAGACACGTAGAATCGCATATAAATCCATAGACTCGTACAGAGACCCACAGACTCCCAAAATAGACTCGTAGAATCGCATAAAAACCCATAGACTCACACAAAGACCCATAGACTCCCAAAATAGACCCATAGAATCGCATAAAAACCCACAGACTCGTACAGAGACCCACAGACTCCCATAATAGACACGTAGAATCGCATATAAATCCATAGACTCGTACAGAGACCCACAGACTCCCAAAATAGACTCGTAGAATCGCATAAAAACCCATAGACTCACACAAAGACCCATAGACTCCCAAAATAGACCCGTAGAATCGCATAAAAACCCATAGACTCATACAGAGACCCATAGACTCCCAAAATAGACCTGTAGAATCGCATAAAAACCCATAGACTCGTACAGAGACCCATAGACTCCCAAAATAGACCTGTAGAATCGCATAAAAACCCATAGACTCACACAGAGACCCATAGACTCCCAAAATAGACCCGTAGAATCGCATGAAAACCCATAGACTCATACAGAGACCCATAGACTCCCAAAATAGACCTGTAGAATCGCATAAAAACCCATAGACTCGTACAGAGACCCATAGACTCCCAAAATAGACCTGTAGAATCGCATAAAAACCCATAGACTCACACAGAGACCCATAGACTCCCAAAATAGACCCGTAGAATCGCATGAAAACCCATAGACTCACACAGAGATCCGTAGTTTGTTGATCCTCCCCGGCACCTCCGATTAGCACGGTTGGCTACGTACGGTGCGAAAGAAGTTCAACATGCACACATATTAGGGAACACATTTTTTTTATAGCGCAGATGCAGATTGGATATAGCGCGATCGAGTGAACGGAGCTACGTCACGCGGCGTAGCACTGTCATCACACAAGACATTGAGATGATGCTCCCAGATGGCCAGCCTGCGTACGCATCTTACGCGTTATCGCGGACTGGAAACTAAGGGGCCGTCCATAAATGACGTCACGCACCTGGGGGGGGGGGAGTCAGACATTTGTGACGATGGGGGGGGGGGGGGGGGGTGATAAATGTGACGTCACATCAACATGCGCAACTTTAAATAAACGTAGTCAACACGTTCTACTTAATTAAATAGACTTTTTAATAAATGTTTTCTCCTACAACATCAGAGTGCAGTTCCCAAGCTCTGCGGTCCCCTATCTATCATCTCAACTTGTAACGCGTACAGACAGACAGACAGAGAGAGGGGTGAGGAGGAAGAGGAACCACGCACAAGCAGCGGCCAGGCATGGGGTGCTGTATACGAAGCGACGGGCGCTATACCAACAGTTTTGCTCGATTTAACACGTAGCAGGCTTTCGCGACCAATATTATTCATAATAAACGTTTTTGGGTCAGATCGCGTTATTTATAAATGTGTCGTAACCCTCCACCACCCGACACGGCCAAATAGTAATAAAAGTGTCACGTTTTCAAAAGACAAAATAATTTACTTATTTAGCCCACCGGTGTGCTGAAGAGAGATTCAACAGCATTTTTAAATTTGAGTAGTTCAACGTTTCGCTGATAGTTACAATCAGCTTCATCGGGCAAGAATGGTGAAGCTCTCCTGTTGCTTCCGGTCTTAAATAGAGCAGCATCAGGGTGACGTCATCATTTAATTCAATTCAATCTGGTGCAGTGATTCGAGGCAAAGAGGGGGAGGGTATTGTAATTATATAGATTAGTAATCATTCAAATGTTATTCATTGGTGTTTGTTTCCCTTATAAGGAATTGTCATTGTATTTATTTAATAAAAGTAACACATTTTTTACTGATTGGCCGTGTCGGGTGGTGGAGGGTTACGACACATTTATAAATAACGCGATCTGACCCAAAAACCTTTATTATGAGTTCTACCCGCGTCTCTGACACGGCGTGACGCACAGACCCCGATTCTCTCCCTCTGACGCCACAGTCTGGAGCCGAGGAATCGCAGAGCGAGGAGCAGGAGGAGCAGCAGCAGCAGCCACGGCAGGCCAGAGGCATGCGGGGACGTCAGGACCCTGAGGGCAGCAGTGGGAGAGAGATCCGCTTAGCACGACTGTCACATGTGTGGACAATTCGATACGCGCGGTATGAAGTTGCTGTGCAATAACTGAACTTTGGATGCATTTACCGTTGTTTTAATGGCATGAACGAAAGTATATGTGAAGTGGAATGATAAATAAATACGCTGAAGTTAATAAGTAATAAAATTATCCGTCTACTGTACTATATAAATAGATATGACGTACTCATACATATGTAGGACTCGTACAAGGGTTGTCTTTCAGACACATGCACATACATACACACACACTCACATACACACTCACACACAATCACATACACACTCACACACAATCACATACAATCACACACACATAAAATCACACACACACTCACACACAATCACATACACACACAATCACACACATACACACACACGATCACACTCACACACAACGACATACACACTCACACACACAATCACATACAGACACAATCACATACACACACAATCACACACACACTCACACACAATCACACTCAATCACACTCACACACACTCACACACACAATCACATACACACTCGCAAACACACTCACACTCATACACACACTCACATACACACAATCACACTCACACACACTCACACACAATCACACACACACTCACACACAATCACATACACACACAATCACACACACTCACTCAAACACAATCACACACACAATCACATACACACAATCACATACACACTCACACACAATCACATTCATACACAATCACATACAATCACACTCACACACAATCACATACACACTCACACACACACACAATCACATTCACAATCACACACACTCACACACAATCACACTCACAGACACAATCACACACACAATCACATAACACTCACACTCACACACAATCACACTCACTCACACAATCACACTCATTCACAATCACATACACACACTCAGACACTCATACAGACAAAGACCCCCCTATAGCCTGCACGTGCTGTTGGGGCAAGTGCTGTTAGTGTAGTTCAGCACTGTGGCACACCAGGCAGTGGGTGGCAACCACCACGCCCCGGCCGCCTTTGTCTCCCCAGCGGCGATGTTTACTACGCACCGTACCACGTGACTCACTTGAGGCCGAGTGGACCTAGGGGAGTCCCGCACAGACACTCACCGCTTCGTGGCGAGGCGGACGCGGTCGAGAAGACAGCCGCAGAGCGAGTGGTGGTGCAGCAATGATGCTGCTGATGATGATGCTGCTGATGATGATGAAGCTGCTGCTGCTGATGATGATGCTGATGATGATGCCTCCACTAAAAACGCTTTAACGGCGTGAGTCCAAAACATCATCATCAGCAGCATCATCATGAAGAAGGTCGCTACGGAGATAAGGCAAGTGCTGTTGCTGATGACGATGGTTGATGCTGCTGCTGCTGATTGTACTGCCGCAGCTAATGTCGATACTGCTGATGATACTGCTGATGATGCTGATACTTGCAGATGACGCTGTTGCTGCTGCTGATTATAATATAGCTGCTGCTGATGATACTGCTAATGATAATGCTGCTGCAGGCGATGATGATGTCGCTGATGATGATGTCCCTGCTGATGATGATGCTGTCCCTGCTGATGATGCTGATGTTGCTGATGATTATGTCCCCGCTGATGATGATGCTGCTGATGATAATGATGCTGATGGTGGTGGTGATGATGGTGATGAAGCTGATGGTGTTGCTGATGATGAAGCTGATGATGATGCTGCTGATGGTGGTGATGATGATGCTGCTGCTGATGATGAAGCTGATGATGATGCTGATGATGATGCTGTTGCTGATGGTGGTGGTGATGATGATGCTGCTGCTGATGATGAAGCTGATGATGATGCTGCTGATGATGATGCTGTTGCTGATGATGAAGCTGATGATGATGCTGCTGCTGATGGTGGTGATGATGATGATGCTGCTGATGATGCTGTTGCTGATGGTGGTGGTGATGATGCTGCTGATGATGATGCTGCTGATGATGATGCTGGTGATGATGCTGTTGCTGATGGTGGTGGTAATGATGATGATGCTGATGATGACGATGCTGATGATGATGATGTCCCTGCTGATGAGGCTGATGATGGAGCTGGTGGAGTTGGAGACCCAAACGGCCAAACGGACCCGGCTCGCGACCCGGGCACGCGCCACACAGACAAAGCTCCCCCGTGTAGCCTCTCCGTGGCTGTCGAGGCAAGTGCTGCTGCTGCTGATTGTACTATTGCTGCTGCTGATTGTACTATTGCTGGTGATGATGATTGTACTATTGCTGATGATGATTGCACTATTGCTGATGATGATTGCACTATTGCTGATGATGATTGCACTATTGCTGATGATCATTGTACTTTTGCTGCTGAAGATGATTGTACTATTGCTGATGATGATTGTACTATTGCTGATGATGATTGCACTATTGCTGATGATGATTGCACTATTGCTGATGATTGCACTATTGCTGCTGCTGATAATTGTACTATTGCTGATGATGATTGTACTATTGCTGCTGAAGATGATTGTACTATTGCTGATGATGATGATGATTGCACTATTGCTGATGATGATATATTGCTGCTGCTAATTGTACTATTGTTGATGATTGTACTATTGCTGATGATGATTGTACTATTGCTGATGATGATGATTGTACTATTGCTGATGATTGTACTATTGCTGATGATGATATATTGCTGCTGCTGCTCATTGTACTATTGCTGATGATGATTGTACTATTGCTGCTGATTGTACTATTGCTGATGATGATGATTGTACTATTGCTGATGACGATTGATTGATGGCTTATGATAATACTGTTGATGATACTGTACGGACTCTACACGTGTATAAAGACAAAGATCCCCCGTGTAGCCTGTGACAGGCTGTTGGGGCAAGTGCTGTTAGCGAGTAGCAGCGCCTATGAAGGTCGGCACGGCACACGAGGGGGTGGGTGGCCAACACCCCGCCCGGCCGCCTTTGTCTCCCCAGTGGCGATGTTTATTACGCGACACCAGGTTCTCACTTGAGGCTGAGTCGACCTAGATACTGATAGACGCACAACCTGCATTAGCACACACACACAGACACACACACACCCAGACACACACACACCCAGACACACACCCAGACACACACAGACACACACACACAGACACACACAGACACCCAGACACACACCCAGACACACACACACAGACACACCCAGACACAAACCCAGACACACACACAACACACACACTCTGATTACTGTAGTTTCAGTAAGGCAGCTCCATGAACTCTGAGTCCCACCTTCGAGAGAGAGGGGGGGGTTGTTGTTGTAGACTCCACGCATGCACGCGTCGAGCCTAAATGAAGTAACTTCATTTAAATAAATAATAATAAAACTATTTTTTAAACGCGCTTTAATGAAATGTACAAGTAATGGAAGAACTCCACTACTCCAGGAAGTGGCCCCGAAGCTTGCCACAACGTAAGGGGCCGTGGCCAATTACAGCCAATGCCAGTTGAGCGTGGACAATTAGACCCAAGCCGAAACATAACATGTAAAAAATAATGTTTAAAAATATAAACTTTTTATTTGTAATGATAGAATATAGTATTGTCATCAGTATGACATAAGTATACCAAGTTTGCAGTCGACACCACATTGCGAAGTGGGTTAAATTTTAGTTGCTAGATTTGAAGATACAACAACAGTGTGAGTTAAATGGAAGCTGTAATAAATCAATTATTTTCTTTTACTTGACCATGTCAAGTCTACGGAGCGACGTAACTCTTTTTCATAAACGACGCGGCTATCACAAATGATAGCTCAACAAAGTGGCTTATTATCATCATCATCAAGTGGAAATGTCGAGTGTCAGCCAATTGCTCTAAGCTCATCACTCAGAGACCCACAGACTCACCACACAGAGACACATAGACTCACCACACAGAGACCCATAGACTCACCACACAGAGACCCATAGACTCACCACACAGAGACACATAGACTCACCACACAGATTCCCAAAGACTCATCACTCAGAGACCCACAGACTCACCACGCAGAGACACACAGACTCACCACACAGATTCCCAAAGACTCATCACTCAGAGACCCACAGACTCACCACGCAGAGACACACAGACTCACCACACAGATTCCCAAAGACTCATCACACAGAGACCCACAGACTCACCACGCAGAGACACACAGACTCACCACACAGATTCCCAAAGACTCATCACACAGAGACCCAAAGACTCACCACACAGATACCCAAAGACTCACCACACAGAGATCCATAGACTTACCACACAGAGACCCATAGACTTACCACACAGAGATCCAGACTCACCACGCAGAGACCCATGGACTCATCACACAGAGGACCACAGACTCACGACGACTCACAGACTCGCCACACTAAGACCCATAGACTCATCACACAGAGACCCACAGACTCATCACACAAAACTCCATAGACTCACAGAGTGCCATAGATTAACACAGCGGTCTAGCCTCACCACACAGAGGCCCATAGAGTCCCTGTATCAAACAGTCTGCCTGTAACACTGAACCTGTCCATATCGATTATCTTGGACTCACCCTGAAAATGTAAAATATAAATATTAGCGCACGCATGACCCAGTACTCTAGCCTTTAAAATGAACTTCCACATTAACCACTTTACCAAGGTACACCTGTGCAAATTTGGAATACATCCTCATTAACCACGTAATTTACGTGAAGATTTAACACGCAGTAGGCTTTTGCGACCAATATGTTCCATAATAGAGGTTTTTTTGGGTTACAAATATAAATGTCGTTAAACTCACCACCACACGACACAGTAAATTAGTAGTAAGGTTTGTCACGTAAACAACACGTGACAATTCGTTATTCTTTCAGCACACCGGTTGTGTGTTGGAGAGTAAACCCACAACATTTACAATTCGTTATTCTTTCAGCACACCGGTTGTGTGTTGGAGAGTAAACCCACAACATTTACAATTCGAGTGCCGTGACGTCCAGAGGCGTAGCTAGGGGGGGCAGGGGGGTACACGTGTCCCCGGGCGCCAAGGTAAAGGGGCGCCAAAATTAGGCTTACAACGTTACATTATAACTTATTGCGGCGGGCGCGGCAGCCTGGAACTACTGCACAAATCTACACCTCAACCTAAAAGTTTATATATCCCGCCACACACAGCCTACATGTCATGTAATTACATTTTGGTACGCGCGCCTATTAAGAACTTACATGGAAGAACGTCCCAAACAACAGAGAGGCGCAGTCTTTCAGCCTTAGTCACTGGCCTGTTTTTTGGTGGCGGAAACTACAACGGCCTATTTTTAGTTCTTATTAGTGACACCACACTCCAGGCGGCTGCAGCAGCCGCAGCAGCCCACGCACGTTTAATTACATCATCATGGTTTAAACGCCGACTAGCGAACGGAGAGGAAGTGACTCGTTCGTGGCTATTATATTCACCAATCAATAAAGCTGTTTACTGTTTATGTTGTCTATTATTTACATAATCGAGTTCAAACTCACGAGCTTCGTTTGAGTTAACAAACGGTTTCAACAAGTGGAGGAAGCCAGAAAAACTAAATTCTCATGAAAACAATCCTAGCCACCGCACCACAGCTTTTACTACATGGAAGGAAGCCGAACGAAGGATAATTGATGGTACTGGAATTGACGCAGTGGTTCAAGCTCAGATTCATTTGGAAAAACAACGTTGGCGAGATATATTGCAAAGAATACTCACCTGTATTAAGTTTCTGGTTTCACAAAATGTGGCACTACGTGGACATGAGGAAAATTTGAATGTGGATGAGGATAAAAATGTTGGAAACTTTCTCGCGCTGATCAAACTCGTTGCTCAGTATGACCCATTGTTAGCAAAACACGTTCAGCACGCAGGAGAAAATCCGGGATCAGTTTCTTATTTGTCACCGGAAATCCAGAATGAATTTATCCACATACTTGCGTCGACTGTAAATAACCAATTGTTGAGTGATATCAGGAAAAACAAGTACTATGGTATCTTACTTCACTCAACTCCTGATCTAGGACATCGGGAACAGCTTTCTCACGTCATAAGATTTGTGGATGTGGATTTTCAAACTAGAAAAGTAACTTTCAAAGAATCATTTTTAGGTTATATCGAGAAACATGCAAAAGATGCAGCAAGCCTAGAAAGAGTCATCGTCGAGAGACTGAAATCTGACAACATACCTCTAGCCGACTGTCGGGCACAATGTTATGACAATGCTGCTGTGATGACTGGGCATATATCCGGCCTTCAACAACGAATATGTGACAAAAATCACAGAGCATTGTCAACTGTGACAACCACAGCTTAAACTTAGCAAGAGTACACTCAGCTAAACAGGATCCACATTTCGTCACATTTTTTGGAACAGTTGAAAGTATATATTTGTTTTTCTCTCGTTCAACAATTCGTTGGGAAGAGTTAAAAAAGCTGTGCCCATCACAGTAAAGCGGGAGTCTGAAACATGCTGGAGTGCACGATCAGAAGCTGTTAAAGCTATCTATGAAGGACTGGATGAACTAGTAGGGCTGCTAGACAAATTATCGGAGGACGTAACTATGACGCCTGAAACCAGAAGCGATGCAGAACAGTTACGGGCATGCGTATAAAATTTAAACTTCATAGTTTTATTACATTTTTAGAATGTCATTCTTGGAAAAATGTATCGTGTTCAGAAGCGTATACAGGGATTTTTGGAAAACGGGGCATAGATACAACAGGATCCTACTATGAACTTCAAGGAAGCAGCAACTGATCTTGAATCTTTGGAGCATGAATTTGTCAAGCTTCGTGATGATTTGAGCCAAGTTGCTGTAGAAAACGCCAAAACAAGATGCACAGCCTGGGGGATCGATGTGGACAGAAGAAGATGCCAGGAGAACTGGCAAGAGATGCAGGACTTTCTGCAGAAGAAGAAATTATGCGCGTTATGAAGAGCGTATTTTATCGACTTCAACCGGAGATGTCAACACGGTTTTTACGACTAAAAGACCTGAACACAAAATATGGATTTCTGCTGGACGTCAAAACTCTTCTATCCGACACAGATGTCGATGCAATTCGTCGAAATTGCAGATTTTGGAAATTTCTATGACACCGACATCAATGGCCACGAACTTTTCACAGAAATTGGAGATTGAAAAATGCTGCTCAGTAACCGGAATGAAGTTCTACCAGAAACTCCTTTGGATCTTCTTGGTTTTATTGTGTTTCATGGAGACGACATGTTTCCGAATTTGCGAATTTCACTGCAAATTGTATTAACAATTGCAGTTTCAATTGCAAGCTGTGAGCGGTCGTTCAGCAAATTAAAACTTATTTTGTCGTATTTGCGTGCTTCAATGGGACAAGATCGTCTCAGCGATCTTGCTCTTCTTAGCGTTGACAGAGAAACATTGGAAAAAACAGATTTTGATTACGTGATTGACCAGTTTGCGACAGTGAAATCAAGAAAAATTAATCTTTTGTAGACTATGTCAACCAGTCTACGACAGTGACTGAGTGAGCCATGTAATATAATTTCTATAAATTTGCTTCTTTAAATATAATGTTTCATTAAAATTGTAATTGTTATTCCTTATTCGATGTAATAGGAAAATGTGATTAAACGGGGGGGGGGGGGGGGGGGCGCCAATTTTATAGTTCGTCCCCGGGCGCAAAATATCCTAGCTACGCCTCTGGTGACGTCTCACCGGTAATTACAACAACCAGCCTCATCAGGCGACAGCCACAATTGTGGAGAAACCCTCCTCCTATTTCGGTCTTAAATAGATGAGTCAGTATGATGTCGTCATTGTAAGCCCATCAGATGCGAAGACCAGAGGGAGGATTAAGGTATTCATATACATTACAATGCATAGCTATTAGTAATATAATATGGAGAATACTCATACGCTACAGTAATGGTTCTGGAGCAGTCATAAATGATGACGGATGCTTGTGTTGCTTCCGAAACGTCGTGATTTAATTTAGTTTTATTTTGTTTTCACCTACGTGACTTTACCGAAAAAAACAAAGAGTAATACTGTATTCATAGCTCTAAACTTGGGAAGTGTCTTTGGTTGAGATCTGTCAATTTGTATTTTATCTATCTGTAGTTTATCGAATCGTTACATCTGAGACTGACGAATAATTTAAACCTAGTCCTGGAATCAGTTTATTTTGGCAGGCCCGCAGTTTGATTGTCTCAAACTGCGGGCCTGCAAAAACGACTTCTGTGTAAATTGTACTGTGGTTTCTATTGCGAGGTTGAGAATTAATCTCTAGAAAACCAACCTGTGGCTGGACTCGATCTCATTTTATTGCTGACTGTTTTGGTTGTCTGGGCTCGTGGACCTCTCGAGAGGAGGTTTGGATTTGGGCCTTTCGGAGTTTCTCCAATTTAGACATTTTTAGAGGCAACAGCGTTGCATCACAATAACCATTTGTATTCAAACTCGTTGGTTCTTTCGGTAAAGTCACGTAGTTAGAAATAAAAATAAAACAAATCACGACGTTTCGATCGCAACACAATCGACCTTTGTCAGGTGGAGAGTATGGATTCCTGCAGTCACGAAAGCTTCAAATCAATATTGAACCATTGGTGTCGTTGTTTGCTTGCATTTCCCTCATGCTATACCACATTGTGCCTCGTGGAGTGAACACCACGGCTGAAATGCCATATCTAATCAGGGCTCAAACTCCCGCAATGGTGTGAGCCATCCCAATTCCCAGTGATGTTTGTGTGTTTCAGCTGAGCAATCCCCAGGGCCTTGATCTTCACCGGATCCTGTCCATTAGTCAGTGCGTTGTTGTACTCTTGCTGGAGTCCATAAATGACGCGATGCTCAGCCCATTCCGTGCTCCCTGCGGATGCCTCTTATAATGTTTGCAGTGTGGCCACATTGATGATGTTGGCAGGGCCTGTGTGTGTGTGCTTGTGTGTATGAGGAGTAGTAACCTGCGTGCAGCAATGCTTCTCGTAAAAAAATCATTCAGTTCGGTGTGTGATGGTTTAACTTGATGTTCAGTGACAGAGTTAGCCAATTGTACAAAGAGAAGAGCAATTCCCGAAATGTCACATGTATCCTCTATGGAGCATGCTCTAGACGAATATGGATTTTTCTCATTTGTGCTGCTTCAAAACTTCCAATGCAATGAAAACAAATGTGCATTCTCGAATACAGCTTCTCTAATACAGTAGACTCTCGATTACCCGCGCTAATGGCGAAGAGGACGGCTACGGATAATTCAACATTGTGGATAATCCAAAAATAGAAACATTTCCGTGGATTTCTATGCCAAATATTAACGATTGACGGATCGATGCGTGTGCTCAGTGATCACACTTTTCTGCTCCCGCGCAGAAGACTCTGCCCACGTAGTAGATATCAGAGCCATGCCAATCAAAATCAATCAAACTCCACCCATTGTTGTAAAGATATGGCAACTACTGTATTGTAGCGGCGATCACGGGGATTTCGGATTAATAGGAGCACATATTTGTTCAATTTAATATCGTGACTTGTAATAAACATTTCCAAGAATAACAATGCATCACTGTTTTTAGATTATTAATTTGGGCTTAGCGAAAACTCCATGAGTTAGTAATTTATGTCAAAATCTCAGGTGCGCTGTTAATCCTCAAATCGTATAAACTGCACGTGGATAATCGACAGCCTATTGTACTCTTAAAAAGATATGGCCACACCCTTGTATGATCTTTTTTGTTACACTAACACATGGCAAGCAGTGATTTTGTTTTAAGAATTTTCTTTGTTCATATGATTACAAATGTATTCTGCATGTTAAATAAATAGAAACTTTAAATTTGAGATTGACGTTAGATGCATGACTTTCTCAGGAACGTGTTCTTCTAAATGTAAGCCCACTGTGACACTTGGGAGATTGTTTGAAATCCTGAAAGCAGCAGGCATTCAGCAGCGGTTTGAGGAATACGTGGTACAATTCTGGCTTTATTAGGCACACACGGAATACAAGCAACACCGCTTGATCGCAATCATAATATACAGATCAAAATTACCTGACCCTTAACAAAGCATTACAGCGTACACAATACTTAAGGTTCCAGACAGTATCCTGGAATGTAGCATAGTTTAACCGAAAATATGGATTCTATAAATCAAGTTTACTTCTCACGGAGTTTAATAGCAATACACTCTAGAACATATACTGTGAGAAAACAATGAACGAGTATTTATTTACATCGATTCATTTGCTCAGAGTCCAGACATAATCAAATCTAATTACTGTACAGTTGTTGTGTAAGTGTTTGAGAAACAGTAGTTCCTTCTTCTTTGTTTCTCTATATATATAAAAGGGAAATTTGTGAATATGTGTGTCTGATCGAAATATTTAGCATATTTACCGACATGCAAAAAACTAGAAATTTTGCATGTGGGTAGTTTCCAGACTGTACACAATGCAAAAAGTATAAAAATCGATTTTTTTATTTTAGGGGGGGAGGGGGCGGGGCGCAATAATGGATATATTTTGCACGGAAAGTGAGCGGTGACGTCACATCTGTGACGTCACCTCTGTGACGTCACATCTGTGACGTCACATCTGTGACGTCACATCTGTGATGTCACCCGCATGCGGCAGCGTCACGCAGTGTGCCTGCTGACGTCACGCATACCCCCCCCCACCCTCCGCGTAGGCCGTGCATTAAAGACAAGAATCCAAGTCCCGGGCGAAGCCGGGTAGTAAAGCGAGTACAATATAAATAGCCATCCCATACCTTAGATCAGTGGTTCTTAACCTGATTATTTTTAGACGGTAAATTATCGAAATACAAATAAAGCACGGGCACACAAGTATAACAACTTTGTTTCATTAAACCCTCTGTGCTAATTAACGTCGTACATTTGTTTACGATTGAGAACCAAGGGGGTGCAAGGCTGCAGTAAAGACCAAGTACCACTGCCTAAGAAAATTAGATATTCTAATTATTTAATATCGTGCCACTATTTTCGAACACTGCCAGAGGCTAAATATCTTCACCTTGAGATAAGTGATGACTGTGAAAAAGTACTTTATAGCTCATCGGATTCCTCCAGTATTAATATATATATAAATTAAATATTCTGATGCTGATCAACACCACCATCATCACCACCACCACGAATATTAACTGGCATTCACTGATGTAGAAGCTCTATGAGACCTCCTTTACCAGTGGCAAAATATAGTAATAGGTTTTTACCCTTTCAACTGGTACAAAAACCTACTACTATATTTTGCCACTGGTAAAAGAGATCTCATAGTGTAAATGCTTACCCCGAGCTCTCAATACTCTGATAGTGCGCTGTCTTTGAGTTGTACGCCTTTTGGCGTCATCTGGTCCAACACCAATGGAGACTAGGCTCTAAGAAAAGCTGTCTCGGGTGTGGACCAATCAACTTCAAGGACAGTGCATATCATTATCATCATCAGAGTTGTTTCTTTATGTTTGCATTTTGACTGCTTGTGTTGTGGTTATTGCAAACATGATGCCTTGTATAAAGGTGTCAGTTTTTGTACCAGTTGAAAGGGTAAAAACCTATTACTATGTGATGTAGAAGCTGTCGAAGAAAATGCCATCCAGCTGTCTTTGGACTTCACCATTATCATCATCATCAGAGTCCATGGGCAGATAGCCCGGAGATGTCCACTGCACATTTCGTAATTTGTCTCCACTTTCCTCCGTCTTGTGCAAATATTCTCAAGTAGTGGCCACATCTTTCTGGCACCAATCACCTCTTGTGTTGTGAAACCATTCTCTGTTAGGTCTCCCTATCTTTCCGGTTCCTTCCATTTTTCCGAACAACACACTTTGCATTTTCCTGTTGTTATCCATCCTACATATCTGTCCAAATAATTCCAGTTTCCTTCTCATCACTGCCTGCATCGTCAGGTCTTCTTCTGTATGCAACCTTTGTCTTACTCCTACGCTGGTCACTCTCTGTAGCAATACATTTCGAGTGCAAACATCTTATCTCTGTCAGTCTTAATCTAGATTTGAAGTTGTCGTCACTGCAGGGATCTGATTTGTGGATTAACCTCGGACCTGAGATTGACATAAATTAATTACTCATGGATTTTCCCTTAAGCCCAAATTAATCATCTAAAAACAGTTCAACATTGTTATTCTTGGAAATATTTATTACAAGTAACATGCTTAAACTGAACAATTATGTGTTCCGGTTTATCCCATATTCACGTGATCACCCCTCTACAGTACAGTAGTTGCCGTATCTTGACAACAGTGAGCAGAGTTTGATTTTGATTGGCGTGTTTCTGATATTCGCTTCGTGGGCCGAGTCTTCTGCACAGGAGTAGGAAAGTGTTATCACTGAGAACACGCATCGATTAATCGTATATTCGTGGTTTTTGGCAAACATATCCATGGAAAATGTTAATATTTTTAGATTATCCGCAATTTTTAATGATCTGTAACCGTCCTCTTTGTCATGAGCGTGGATAATCAGAGTCTACGGTATTTACAAAAACGACTGCTTTCACAATGCTAGTGAGAATGTTTTTTTCAAGTCTTTCATAATCTTCTTTTTATTTGTTTTGATCTCTTTCCAAGCATCGGGAATATCTGCCGACAAAGCCTTGTGTCTTTCAGCAAATTTCCCATTGTATTTGCAGAACACGATCTTCCAGAAAGTCGTGGCCTCTAGGCTGGTGTCCGACTGAATGAGCCACGAGGCAAAGTAATCATTGATAGTGCGGTATTCCTTGTAGGGGATACATCTTGCATTTGAACGTGCACAGCGGTATGTCCTATTGCTGGCAACAGCTGTTGTGCAAACTTCAACAGACAACTTCTGAGTTGTTATGAACCGAACTCCATTAAGGCCCAAAGGATAATGCAGCACCGAACAGTGCTCCCTATGTCCACCGCCTCCCTGGTCACAAGGCACCCCACAGAAAGGACACTGCTTCTCACAGCCAGCCAGGCTCTTGTAGAGCTCGATGTGTGGCTGCACAGTGAGACGACTCAACCACGCCGCACACTCGGCGTCACTGGCGACACTGAATCCTCGTAACATTTCCCCTTCAGCAGAGTCCAACGAACTCTTGAGTTCTTCCGAAAATTGCTTGACACTGTTTGTGTCTTTGAACAACAAAGACCCAACTATGTCAATGAAATCCTTATTAATGATGATGTGATTGAGCAGACACTCCCCCAAGCTGTCTGAGAATTTCCAAAGTGTGGTCGGAGTGGCTATTTGTTTTGTGACAGTGTCCACAGATTTCTTCACTTCTTTAATCAGATTGCTCAAAATGGCGCTTGAGAGATGGTACATCTTAGATTGTGATCCATGCTTACTCTGGCAGTGCTTTATGACCTGGGCCTTTATCCATTCTTTTGTAAAACCTGCATAATTCGTGATGTATCTGTCGTAATTTTCAAAGTCGTCTTCATCCAACAAATGCAGTAGCATTGCCAGTTGAAGGTTTTTCCGGCTCAAAAACGTAGGGCTACCGCTATCGCTCTTCACGTTCTTCGCAATATCCATCCCCAATTTGTTGTCGACAGCCTCAAGTAGAGACGGCTTCAAGCACTCGTTACAAAAGGTCTTTGCATGTTCCATATTTTCATCCCCTTGACGATAGAGTTCCTTGAAAATAACAAAATATGACTCCTCAACTTGCTTCAATTTATTTTTAGGATCATTGACTTCATTGTTAATGTCATGTTTATCTTGCCATGTTTTTATGGCGATGTGACATACAATCACAGTGGTATCTATTACTAAGTCTTTGCTGATCATAATGTTCAGATTTTCAGCCTCTTTAAATGCGACCCTTACTTGTTGCAGAAGTTCGTCACAATAGGCGGAGCAATAATCGTAATGTTTTATTTTGTCCTCAATATACCGGCTCATCTTTGTGATTATCGAGCGAGAACGTTCCTTCGACTGGTTCACACCTGAGTCATCCTCTTGGGTTGGTTTATTTCTACGTCCAGCCAATTTGACAGGTGTTTCTGGCCCTTGTCGACATTCGTTTACAATTTTGTCGCGATATTTGTCGTCCTGTGAAGTTTCCCGCAATGCTTCACTTACAAGCAGCTGATATTCTATTTTACTGTCAATCAGCGCTTTCTGCACATCTCTGTAAACGTTGTGGCGGGTCAACTTAATTTCTGGGAGGAATTTAACCACCTCTGTCCACATGTTGTCAAACTCTTTCTTGAGCTGTTGTTCGTTTAATTGTATGTCCTCGTTCTTGCAACGCTGAAGAAGGGAATGAACTTCCAATCCAATGATCTTTTTCCTTTTTGTTTCAAGCTCATCGATGGAGTGTCGAGACTGTCTCCTGCAGACTAATTGTTTGAATATGTTCAGGGTTTCATCGTGTGATTTGCTGCATAGGTGATTGGCGCTGATGTTGAAGTCCTCTTTGTATTTCTCAACTAAATGCACATCATTGCTTTTGTTTTCAAAGTAGCTTTTTAATTTGTTCTGTATAGCGACTTTTCCTTTTGAAATCTCATTCCCTAATTCAAGCTCCAACTGTTGAAGAATTTCCTGAAGCTTCTCGTGTTTCACGTTCATTATTCTATTCTCCTTCTCCTGCGTCCAAGAAAGAATTTCCTTACGATATTCCCACTCCCAGTCTGTATATTGAACACACAGTTTGTAATACGCATCGGCAACCAAGCTGTTCCTGAAACTGAATATGAAGTGCTCCTTTGTCACTGCTTCCCAGATGCTTCCGATCCAAGCACTGAACTCTGAGAGCGTCGAAGCTCCCTGTGTTTCTGCTCTCTTTTTAAAATGGTCCATCAGGTGCTGCTTGAGTTGAAAAACCTGATCGCTGTACGCAGCACTGACTGCAGCCATTGGAGGGGTTCCATGCCAGAGGCCAGGAATGTACCAGTTGTCCCGACTCACGTCGTGCTCCATCACGTCGGTGAATTTACTGTAAGTGGACTCCTTGTGCTCCATTCTTGCAGCTGCCACCGTCATGGCATTCAGTTGATCGATGAGGTGTTCGTTCTCCATCATGTTCTTGTCGGAGGCAGCGACATCGCCCGAATTCTGATGCACAAACTGGCAACTCGGTTTCTTGCCCACTGCTTTCATTCTCAAAAAAGCGTGGACGACGATTTGCAGAACGTCCTTCATGTCTTCGGCATTTTCCGTTGCCAGGTTAATGAGCGTGACATCGCTCAAACCAACGAACACGGTGGCCAGCTCATTGTCGTGCTCGTGGTTGTCGTGAAGTGTTGCCAGCTGAGGAGCTTTCAGCCCTTCTGTGTCAATCACCAGGATGAAGTCACACGCCAGGTCTCGTCTCAGCTCATCGTCAACGCTGACGAGCTGCATGAAAGCGCCGCGTGTGCAGCGGCCACTGCTCACTGGGAACTGCAGCCCAAACATGGTGTTGAGAAGCGTGGACTTGCCTGTGCTCTGCACCCCCAGCACGGTCAGGACGAACACGCGGGGGTCTCGGCCAAGCCTAGTCCTCACTGCCTTAAGCACGTCGGTCACCCAGTCAATGGGAATACAGCCAACGTCACCATCCATCAGCTCCAAGGGCAACCCCTCCAAGAACAACTCCGCAGCAACAGATGGGAGTGTCAGTGCCTCGGGGCAGGCAGGTTTAGGTGGTTTTATGGTACTGGATGTTTTATGCTTGGAAATTGCTTTAGTTGCTTCATAACACTGTCCAATTTCCCTCATGAAGTGTTCCATTCCTAATGAGTTTGATGACATTAATTCTTTAATCGTATGCAGATCTGCACTTTTAGTCGTAGAATCAACAAGTAGCTGCTTGTAATCAGCGCGTAACGAGGAAAAGCTGGTCCTGGATAAACTGTTCAGTTCCAATTTCATCCATTGAAGGGCGTACATTTTCATAATGGTCGACTTGTCTAACAGTAAATCAACGCACATTTGCATAATATCTGAAAAACCTTTACCTGCCTGTTCAATGCGAATTTCTCTTTGTGTTTCAACTAATCTACATATGTATTCTTCGACAGAATCACCGACTTTTTTCAGCCGATTTTGCTCTTTTTTGCTTTCTGACCACCTGCGCCAAAGATCTCCTTGCAATGGGAGATCTCTCTTACTCTCTTTCACACCATCCTCTTTTATTTTGTCAATAATTACTTTGACTTTTCGTTTAGTTCGCTGACATTTATTTTCACATTCATCGACTGTAATTTCTAATGATTTAGCAAAGTGGGCCATATCTTCCATTGTACTGGAATTTATACTACTTTTGATTACATCTGCGATCTTACAGCGCATTTTCCGAGTAAAATACTCTTCATTGTGCTTGCCTCGTTCAATAATGTTAGTTTTCTCTAATTTCAGCTGAGACCAGACATCAGTGATTGCATTTGAATTCCTGATTCTACTACGCACGTCCTGATTTGTTATCAGAAACAACTGAGCTTCTGCATCGGCAAGCAGAGGCAATATTTTGTCCACGTCTGTTACTTCATTGTCAACAACGACGAATATAGCCTGCGAGATTTCTGTTAGGAACTCAAGCTGAACTAAGTGATCTCGGGCATCGCCGCGGAGATTTAAAATGCTAAACACCGTTTGGAAAACGTCCACATTTGATTTCCCACCAGGACAGAACGTACACGTTTCAACCAGTCCATCGGAGCACTTTCGAGCGATGTCACCACATGCCATTTCTCGATGGACAAAGAAATCGTGTTTTTCATTGCTCAGAATCGAATTGAGCACTTTTGATTTCGAGACACTGCACTCTCCAATCCGAATGAATGAAATGAAAGGCATTTTGATGCTGACTAATGACTCCTCCATGCTGGATGCATTTTGCTGTAGTTTCCAGTTTTTCACAATTTGCCTCATGGCCCACAACATAAACGTGATGTTTCCTTTGCCCGAATCAGGCAGTAAGAGAGGCAAGGCAAACTGACACTGGGACATCTTCTGCATAAGCTCCTGCTGTAAGAAGCTGTCAGCGCAGAGAAACGCCGCGGTTATCATGTCCAGTGGATTTATCAAATCGGCTGTCGCATCACTACCTGAGCTTCTTGTATTTTCATCGTCACTCGTATCTTCCTCTTCCATTCTACACTGGCCATATTCTGTGTTTCTTGCCCTGGGATTTGCTCTCATTACATTCCTGAGGAAATGTTGGGAAATTTCCTCAAGAGATTTGGGATATTCCTCACAGCCAATTAATTTCAAAACGTAATTTCTTGATATTTTATGGGGGTAAAACTTGTCCAATGTAAGTTTCTTCATAGTAGTATGAAAGATTATTTTTGAAGACGCCATCTTGTCAACCTTGTCTTGACTGCTGTGTCCATGAACATTGAAATATAACAAGTAACATAAAGTTATACATTATTTATTCATATACAATGTTGCATTACATTACATTGTAACAGTGAAGAGGAGTCGTAGAATGGTTTAAGCACTTCTTTGTTTCACCAACGCACAGCAATACTCGTTCCAAGACCAACCCCGAACACACGTCCCACAGCCCATTTTAACCCCTCAATCTCCGCTCCCAATACACATCCGCGTCTAGCACGCCTGGTCCTGGTGACGTCACTGCCCTTTGACCCCTGACCCCCGCCCCGAGCATTCCCGCGCGTGTGATTGGTGCGTGTTGTCGTGAGAGCGGAGATGTCGTGTTTGCGTGGTGCGTGTGTGTGAGGGTGGCTCGCAGATCCCTTACAACAGTGACAAGGCTAAATGGGTATATTTTGGGAATATAGGCCAATTGAGACAGATTGTTATCCTTCCAATTCTAAGCAGCTCTCAAATCCTCCGAATGAAGGCTCAGGATCAGTCCCATAATACTTTTGTGTTTGTGATGTAGTTAATTAATATGGACCCACCTCTTTTGCCCAGCCAGCTGGATTGTGGCCTCCAAATGGTACAAAAAATGTTTTGATACTTCTACTGATGCTCCTGCTGTTGTGGAGTGACTCATGCAGCCAGCTATGGCTACAGGGTTTGGTGGTACATGTTATTTATGTCGTTTATTGTGAAATTTTGGTCACAGTTCCTATGATCACTGTTACATTGCTATTATGGTTTTATTTTGGTGATTTAGAAAAGTTTTTTGGTTTGGCCATGTTTGTTTGTTGTAGTACGGAGTTAGAATGATGGCTTTAATATAAGTAATCTTGTGGTTGTTGTTGTTGTTTGACTTGCATCCCACTGGGATTTTTTCACGGCGTTAGTGTTTATGTTTGTTGCAGTTGCACCCTATTCAAGAGCCGAATGGCTCACAGGGCTATACCAAATAAATGAAACTGAAACTAACCAGGCTCATGTGGAAGTGTAAGGGTCGCACGGCAGGGCACACTGAAGTTAAGTGGGGACATGGGGCCATACCAAATATGAAGTAATTAATGAAGAAAGATGGCGGTAAGGAAGCCTCCAAAAAAGACAGGCGATTGGAGGAGATCTGAAGAAGGGATATTTGGCGGGAAATAATATTATTTAAAATACACCAATATTATCCTGAGGTTTTTTGGGTTAGATCGCGTAAGTATAAATGTGTTGTTAAACTCACCACCATCCGACAGCCAAAATCGCAATAACAGGTATTGCTATTTTTGCACATAAAAACGGCAGAATGTGCAAACATAATGTACATACGGAATATTATCCATGGCGTGATGTACATCAGGGCTGTCCATAAATGACGTCACGCGATTTTGGACGATTTTTTGACCCCCCCCCCCTTCGTCACACGGTGACACAAAAGTCAGACCCCCCTTCAAATATGACGTCACAAAGCTCTGCCCCCCCCCCCCCAAAAAAAACATGCTTCAAATCGCTGTAAACTATTGTCATTGTAGTGCGTATTAAATGTGGCGCTGCACTCTGATGTTGTAGTAGAAAACATTGATTAAAAAGTCTATTTAATTAAGTAGAACGTGTTGTCTATATTTATTAAAAGTTGCGTCACACATCGTCACAAATGTCTGACCCCCCCCCCCCCCGGTGCGTGACGTCATTTATGGACGGCCCCTAATTGCTTAGCATGTCGCACGTCGGGCGCGTGTAGCGTGGCATGAGCTAATTTCGATTAAAATTAGTAGCCTCGTAGTGTGATGGGTCGCCAGGAATGGAGTTTGGGAAGCCATGCTTGACTACGGTGTGAGGAACGCTTACAGAGAGTGAAGGAGACATTGGCATCGCGCAGTGTAAGTGTCAGGTGCTGTCACAACACCAGCCCTGTGGTGGCAGCAACGTGCTGCGCAGACCAAACTGGGATTACAGCTCACTTGGTTGGGCCACATTTATGCTTCAGTCACGCGTACCTCAAGCCGCCATGCGTTACGGTGTGACGACCGCTCAATGAGCGAGTAGACGCACGGGAGCTACACATCATTGACAGTACCGGTGGTTTAATACGGGATATTAATGGCTCGTAGCGCTGACACTTTTGGTCATCTGCCGTAGCCCGTTCAGCCCCATGCCAAACCGCGGGCCCCCGTCATGTGCCAGATGACAGGGTCATAACATTGCCCTCCCTCCAGGCTTCCATGCCGATTCCTTATTGGAGTCGGCATGTATTTGTGTTCGTTGTTCCCGTTTTCTGGGATGGTGGCACTGAGACTACAAGAACAAACCTTGGCACGTGTCGAGGTCAATTGTGAGTTGCCACTGCCGTGTAGGAATTTTTAGACGATTTGCTTCATTAAATGTTTTTTTATGAATTACATTATCAACAAAAATGTTGCATTCCTTATTAGTAGTAAGTTACAGAATGCCAAAATGTAAATCCAGTTATCCGAACACCACAATTTTTATGAGGTAAAAAGGTTATTTGGTGATAGTGCATTGTCAGTGGTACACATGCACAAATAATAATGATAAAAGAGCTCACATTCGTCAATAACATTGCTTTGAAAATAGAATCACTCGGCAACGTCAGGGACTGCTGTGAAGGTTGGATTTTATATAAGGTAGTAAATACATATGGACTTTGGATTGCATTTATTCAACAAAATCACATGCGCAATCATCGTCGTCTTCATCAAAATAAGAAACATCATCATCATCACGGTTGTTTAAGTGCAAGATGAATTACCTGGGACGTCTTTTTTCCATTTGTTTGTTTTGTTGAAACGTGTTCTCATTACCTGGGCACATAGTACACGTTTTTATAAATAATGCGCATTATATTTATATTGTTCTTGCATTCAAGTTTGCAGAAATGCAACGATTAAATGGCTTATCATACACATTGAGAGCATTTAAAGCAGTACATGTCAGATCCATGCAATAAAAAAATAGTAATCGAATTTTAGATTTGAAGTTTTCGTGACTGCAAGGATTCATACTCTTTAGTTTTTTCGGTAAAGTCACGTAAGTAAAAAATGTAAATAAATTGAATCACGACGTTTCGAGTGCAACACAAGCGTCCTTCAGGTGGGGACAACGTAGCGAAAGCACACCGCTCAAGCGAAAGCACACCGCTTAAGCGCTAAGTTGTCCCCACCTGAATAAGGATGCTTGTGTTGCGCCCGAAACGTTGTGATTTAATTTATAAAAATGTTTTACCTACGTGACTTTACCGAAACAAAATCTAGTTGGCCATTCAAAACGAACCGTGATATTAAAGTACAGTGTCATAACCTATTAGTTAGTGGAAATGTTCTTATTTAAAGGGTTTCTGCCATCGCTCACCCCCCGCCATTTTATCTGAATGGCGGTGGATTTTTCGCACAGAGTGGCTGGATTTTCAAGAGAATTCACGAGCTGCTAATCCACCTCTGGAGATCAGTGAAAAGACATTTCCACTCCCTAAGAGCTTGAGCATCAAACTAAGCCGGACTGATTCCTACCGCGAAGGTGCTCCCCGTTTCACCTCGTCATGGATGATTGACTGCATTTCATCCATAGGAGGAGGTTGACTTCTTATATTTGGGGGTGGGGGGGGGGGGGTGACAGGGGTTCGTTTTATCTCTCACATTAGGAATCGCGGGTGCATATAATTACTTCTTAAATCAAATATTAATTGTAAATTACTGAAACTAAATTAATAAAGGTGTTCAGTTTGGGAAGGGGCGTCCGATCCCCCCCATGCCGCCCATGATATCACCACCCCACCCCCTACCTTCACTTCAGACCGAATAGCAGAATTGATCAAGGAGGGCGTAGAACAAAAGCTAAGTTAAGGCAGTCATGGAATTGTCAGCATTGTCATGCACATTGATGCCACTAATGTGATGGTAGAATCAGAATAAATGTGCGATTTGTGACGTGGTCCCATTGCGGTGACGCATTCCTCAACGGCACATTCAGGCATGAATTTCCAACACTTCAAAAAAATGGCACACTAAATAACGCACGAGTCAACTTAACGCATGATCTATCAACGCCGGCCACTAGAAGCCACCACTTTGAAGTACATCGTCCACGAATGACATGTCTCCACCACTGCAATTATCTAAGCCGGACTAATTGGGTATGAGTTGGGTAGAGAAAAACAACGCAAACAAATTTTTTAGCATGCATTGTCAATTCTGTCACTGCCAGGGGTGACTGAAGAAGTATGAGAGAAGTGACTGAGGTGCCTATGAATGTGTGGCCGACCCACCGACAGGATCTAATCAAAATCTATAGAATGCCTTAAATCAAGGTGCGTCATATACATGAAAAAATACAGGACAAGCAAAAACTTATTTAGATGGCAGGGCTGTACAAAGGACAGTTCCGTCCTCAGGAGAATGTTCCTCACCTCTGACTTTCACGATTGAAATTTTAGAATCTCAACGGTTACTTACCGAGTCTGTCAATCCATTCGCGAAGCTCCCGAGGGTAGCTGCTCTCCACATTTTTGAGCGACTGCAGGAGATTCTTGCAATCCTCCTCCTCATTGTCAATGAAGTGGTCGACCAGGAAGCGAGACTGACTCCTAGAGTCAGTAATTTCCGCGGCAAGTTTGTAAACGCTTCTTTCAATGAAGGCGTTCGAGTCCAGATCGTCCAGCAGGTAGGAAGGGTCTTGACTGATCCATGCGATCAGTTTCACTTTGTTTGCCCGGATTACTTCCTGCCAATTCGTGGGCATCCTAAGCAGCGTCTGTTCAATCACATAGAGAGAATAGGCTACTTCATTTCTAATTGAATAAAATATTCGCAAAATACCACATTTCTGTTCAAAATGAACCATTTTGTATTGTCATCGCGGCAAGCATCTTAGTCGCCCTAGCTGGGTCATATAATGAGGCGTCCATTGATGACTAAAATATCTATTACACGTATAATACACGCATTCTCTCACACAAAATGCGTTAATTTATTTTAAAATTATTTTAATTTATCCAACCACGGGGGGGGGGGGGGGGTGTACAGGTGAGTGAGAGCGGTGCACAGCGGGAAAGGCGTTGTGTGGCACGTGGTGCGTCGGCCCCATAGCGAAAATAGTGGAGAGCAAGTTCGGGAAAACGAGATAAATACTCTTCTTGGTTCTTTCGGTAAAGTCACGTAGAAGGGAAATAATAAAATAATAAAAATGAAACATTATAAAATAATTCTCACGACGTTTTATTTTTATTATTTTATTATTTCCCTTCTACGTGACTTTACCGAAAGAACCAAGAAGATGAATCCCTGCAGTCACGAAAGCTTTAAATCGAGAGATAAATACTGTAGCTTGTGACCAGTTCTGGTGCTTGCACGTACTGTACACTCAATAAACGTCCACTCTCCCCGACTAATCATTTACTCACACTCATTTTCCCGATCGAATTCACTTTATATTATTATACAAATAGCAACACTAATGCTATTCTGCCACACGTGAGTATTTTTATGAGTACTTATAAAGAAGAATGCATAGAATGTGAATCAGTGCCCCAGATAAATCAGTATCAAATGTGAATACATTGGTTTGTAATCCCAATATCGATTTTTCCCCTGATGTCATTTAAGAAGCGGCAATAGGTAACATGGTTTATTTTGAATATAACCTGACTTCCTGGATCCTGTCCTGAAGATGCTTGATGCAGTATCAGAGGAAACGTTGTATCTAATTGATAGATTCGGTTATGAAAATAGTTTTTTTTACTTATCAATGAACATGAAGCAAGAACAATTGGCGCATGAACAAATGAATGTGTTTGACTATGTCGGGAGTTGGAGGGTCTTGTATAAAATGAATACTTGATATTGTCTAATTTGAATGTCATAGTTTCTTGTAGACACACACGTGTATCCATTGCGTTAATACTTGATATTGTCTTTTCTGAATGTCATAGTTACTTGTAGACACACACGTGTATCCATTGCGTTAATACTTGATATTGTCTATTTTGAATGTCATAGTTCCTTGTAGACACACACGTGTATTCATTGCGTTGCGAGAGTTGAAAAACCACAAGGGGAAAACCCAATGAGTAATTTGAATGAGAAGTTGTAAAACAGGCTTGATGGCTTGGGATGATAACAAGTGGTATTTCTCCCTTGACCTAACAAAGGCATCACCAGAAAGGCCATGAATGAGCACCCTGACGTTTTAACTGTGCGCATGACAGGAACCGGCCACACTCAGCAGCTGAGCTGTTTTAATTAATAAGAAGTCTTGGCGTTTGGAGAGTCTAAATGTTCAAAATTACCAGTTTTCAGTTTCATTTATTAGGTATAGCCCTTTGAGCCATGCGGCTCTTGACTCGGGTGCAACCGCAACAAACAAAAACATGAACAAGAAACATCTTAAAGTGACTACACGCAACAGAAAAATCCAGGAAAAAACAGCAAAGTCTTCCAGAAAAAGCACCGCATTTCAACGCTGTGTGCAAAAATCCCAGTAGGATGCAAGTCAAACAATAACAACCATTAGACAATTTAGATTAAAGCTATCAGGTTAACTCTGTACTTCAACAAACAAACATGGCTAAACCATACGTTTTCGAAATCACCAAAATAAAGCTATAAAAACAATGTAACAGTGATCATAGGAACTGTGATTCAAATTTAACAATAAACGATATACATAACATGTACAAACAAACTTGGCAGCCATAGCTGGCTGCCTGAGTCACTCCATAACAGCAGGAGTATCAGTAGGAGTCATATTCTTGGGTTTTTTCGGTAAAAGTCACGTAGGTAAAAAATTAAAACTAAAATTAATAAAAGTAAAATAAAAATCACGACGTTTCGGATTTTTATTTTACTTTTATTAATTTTAGTTTTAATTTTTTACCTACGTGACTTTACCGAAAAAACCCAAGAATATGAATCCTTGCAGTCACGAAAGCTTCAAATCTAGAATCAGTAGAAGTATCAAACATTTTCAATGCACCTTAAAAGATCAGCACACTATAATCAAAACTCAAGATCATACTTTGCAGCGGTCATCCGGAGCGATGCATTTTATTTTAGGCCACTGCATAGCAGTGGCAGCTCGGGGTGAACAGCTCCTCAAGAGCAGTTTTGAGTGAAGGTAGTGATCCAAGTTGCAGTTTATTGGCGATAAACATCATGGTACTTACGTAGTAATTTGATGATATGCTGTACTGTTACATGACAATACAGCCTAGGGTCAAAAGGTGTTCATATTATTCTTTGGTTCTTTCGGTAAAGTCACGTATAAAGATAAATTAATAAATTAAATTAAAGACTAGCATACGACGTTTCGATTGCAACACAAGCAATAATCATCAGGTATAAATTAAATAGAAACACAAATCTAGTATACTTAGAAATGTAATGTAATACAACAGAGAGTCGGATAACATAACAGTCAACACCCTATCTGGTTGATTACGTTCTTCCTGAGAATGCTAAATTTGAGAGAGAGATTAAACACAGAACCAGAAACATAGACAGACATATAAGCAGACAGATATCACAGAGATACATAGAGAGAGAGCAAACATAGGCACAAAGAGAAACTACGCCTCTGTGTCGAGGCCTTTACCGAAAGAACCAAAGAATAATTCCTGCAGTCACGAAAGCTACAAATTAAGGTGTTCTTATTAACAATAATCGTCTCTGTGTGTCTATGTTGTGTGTCTCTGTTTTTCTCTCTATGCTTGTGTATCTGTCTGTGTGTGGAAAAAAGAACAGATAATACACTGTAACATCATTGGAACCTCATTTGCCAGAATAAAAAAATATGATAATTGGTTTTTTACCCTTCTATCTGGCAACTGGACCAGATGACGCCAAAAGGCGCCTTTTGGCGTCATCTGGTCCAACACCACGTGAGACTAGGCTCTAAGGAAAGCTGTCTCGGGTGTGGACCAATCAACTTCAAGGACAGTGCATATCATTATCAGAGTTGTGTCTTTTGTTTGCATTATGACTGCAGGTATTGTGGTCTATGCAAACATGACTCCTTGTAAAAAAGATGTCAGTTTTGTTGCCAGATAGAAGGGTAAAAAAACAATTATCACACTGTAACATGATAACAAATGTAAATGTTAATAGCTTCAAAAAGTCAAAGAGTCTCCACTATCGTTGTCTACGCGTGCCTGGAATCTTCTCCAGGTGGTCTCGAGAGCCCGGGATACACATTCATTGTGGTTATTGTTGCAAATTCTCAGAAGTGTTGACATTCTTCTGAAGCACACTGTACTTGGTCCAGGTTGTGGACCAAGAATAATCTCAGCTGACATGCATCACAATTAATAACAAACGGATTGTGAATTGTCGCGTTACTATGAGACGTAATCGTGTGTTTATTTAATCACATGATCGTGGGATCTGATCATTGATGCTAATCATTTAGTACGCATTTATGAGTACGTACATTTGCACGTGTACTGAAGTTCCACTCTGATAAGTACTGTTCAAATTCAAGTTCATTTATTAGGTATAGCCCTTTGAGCCATTCGGCTCTTGAATCGGGTGCAACCGCAACAAACAAAAAACAAAAACATGAACAAGAAAACATCGTAAAGTGAATATGTGACTAAGTGCAAACAGAAAATCCAGTTAAAGATAGCAAAATATTGCAGAAAAAACACCGTACACCAACGCTGTGTGCAAAAATCCCAGTGGGATGCAAGTCAAACAACAACAACAACAACCACACGACAACTTAGATTAAGGCCATCAGTCTTACTCCGTACTACAACAAACAAACATGGCCAAACCAATAAACTTTTCGAAATCACCAAAATAAAGCCATGAAAGCAATGAAACAGTGATCATAGGAACTGTGATGAAATTTTCACAATAAATGACATAAACAACATGTACTACCAAAACCCTGCAGCCATAGCTGGCTGCATGAGTCACTCCACAACAGCAGGAGCATCAATCGGAGTATTATAATTTTTCAATGCACCTTTAAGATCAGCACACTAAATCAAAACACAGGTCATACTTTGCAGCGATCATCTGGAGCGAAACATTTTACTTTAGGCCACTGAATAGCACTGGCGGCAGCTAGGGGTGTACAACTCCTCTTGAGCAGTTTTGAGTGAAGATCTCATAGGTAGTGACTGAAGTTGCAATTTATTGGCAATAGCATTCCAGACCCTGGGGGCATCAATAGCAAAGGCCCTTCCTCCAGTATATGTACGGCAATAGGGAATATGAAGCTGGTAAATGAGTGTAGACCTTAGGTCAAATTTGTTCTTTGAAAGAGAGGAGATCCAGCAGGTAATCTGCGGATTTTTTTGCAAGTACATCCTGAATAAATAAGATCTGGTGCACAAGCCGTCGAACATTCAGAGATGTTAAGTTTGACCCAATGTAGAGATCACACTGGTGAGTCCTATATGGGCAGTTTAATGCAAATCTTAAGGCCGAGTGATACATTGAGTCAAGCTTCTTCAGTACAGTACTTGGGGCTGATTTATACACGATGTCACAGTAATCAAGTAGAGGCAGTATGGTAGCTTTTATCAATTCCAAACGGAACATAGGGGGGAATCAGTGCTTGTGTCGATACGGAAAACCAATTTGATTTTTTGTCCTTTTCCCAATATAATCAATTTGATCTTCAAAATTCAGTTTTGAATCCAGGATGACCCCAAGATACTTAGAGATTGTGACTTTCTCTATTTGATCATTATTTAAGGAATGTAATTGGGGGAAAATAACTTCCCGCTTTAGTCCTGGTGAGAAGCA